AGTCATTATGAGAGTAAAATGAGAGTGCGTGCCCACGCACGCAAGCACTCATTTTGTAGAAAAAATGAGATGGAACGAAGGAGCGAACGACTGATGAAAATGATGATGATGTGTGTGATTTTGAAATGAAATGATGTGCAATGCATTAATTTTTTTTTTGAGAAAAAAAGAAATCATGGGGGTTAGAGGAAGTTAAAAGGTTCAATGGGCCCCCAGAAATAATTTTTGAGTCTTGAAATTCTCTCTGGTTCTGAGGTTCAGCTTCAGGCCACAGCTGGTTGAAACGATTTTTTTTTTGAATTTCAGAGATCTACAGATTTTTTGGAAAAATTGGAAAGAATAATTTCTCGAAAATTTGAATTTCCGATGGTCTGATTCAAAAAAAAATTGTGATTTTTTTCTTCAATCTAATTCGAAAATTATTTTTCACTTATCAATTTTCCGGAATTTTTTCGCCTCTAAAATACAATGTCAGAAATCATATTTCAAAACTTCTCGGAAAAGATCCTGAAATCTAAATTTCTAAACTTCAGAAAAATGTGAATCAAAAATTAACGGAAAAATGTTTTCAATGAAAATTTGGTTATTGAAAATCAGTTCTTTATTATCAATTTTCAAAATTTATAGATTTCAGAGAAAATTCTGACCCACCAAAAATATATCATCAAAAGAAAGAAGAAAAAATAAGAACAACTCGAAAGATGAGCTGTCAAAATTAAATTAGAATTAGCAACACACAACGAATTGGAAATGACAGCACGCAATCAACGCGTGGAGAAAATGCGCCAAAAAAACGAGGCGAAAAGAGGAGAAACATGCACAAAAAACAACAACAATTAGGAACTTTTCTGTCGTTTTTTTTTGACAAAAAAAACTTTCGCCTTGATAATTCATCGACTAATTCAATGATGAACATTTGACTCACAAAGAGAAAAGAAAAAAATTTGAATAAATGGGGATGGGATAAAAAAAGTTGTTGAAAACTAATATTCTAAGCTGAACTAATATAATATTGTTCGAATGAGATTAAAAACATCATAACAATAATGATATATGTTTGATCTTGAGTCTTGAAACAAAAAAATCATAGTCAAATTTTACAAAAAAAAAACAAAAAAAAATTGCATCGACCGGGAATCGAACCCGGGCCGCCCGCGTGGCAGGCGAGCATTCTACCACTGAACCACCGATGCTTACGAGATTCTCTGGGTAAAATGTTATATTCATTTTCGTTTGCGAAGATGTTTTTTTACAGGAACCAACCACATATAAAAGTTTTATGGGAGTTCAAGAGAACTAGAGAGTTTTGACCAAAAAAATGCGAAAATGAAAAAAAGCTCAAAGTTAATCGTTACAAAGTTGTTTTTTTCGTTTGTTAGCCAAAAATCCATTCGTTCTCTGTTTATTTTAGAAAATGAATATATTTTTTGAGAAAAAATAAAATAAATAAACAAACTTCAATGGTCCTTAAAAATTGTGCTTTGGAAAGAGTCCAAAAAAACTTTTTTTTTATGAAAGGAAAATATTTTCTCACGCAAAAATTCAGCAGAATATGAACCTTGAAAGTTCGTGTAACTTATTTTACAAAAAGTGCCAAATTCTCACATTTATTGTAAGTCAAAAAGTAGAAAGACAAAAAAAGTTTTCTGTTCTTTTCTTTTCAAAAAAAAATTTGTAAAAATAAATTTTAATTCAATGCATTTTAAAATGAAGAAAAAGGGTAACCCAAACTTTTTTTTCTGTTTTTTCTGAAAAACTCAAGAAAAACATAAATATCGTAGTATATAATCTCTAGACTTAAAAAGCCATAAAGTCATGGGGTGGCAAAAAAAAATGAAAAATTGAGGTGTGAGGTTTTCTCGTTGCTCGACGCCAAAAACTGCAATTATATTTTTTGCGAAAAAATGGAATAATTATGAAAAAATGGAAGAAGGAACTGAAAAAAAGAGGTTGGGAAAGAATTTTTTTTGTTCGCGTTTTTTTTTCTCGAAATTTGAAACTTATAGGAAGTGCGATATCCATATTTTCTATTCTATTTGGTAAGAAAAATGGAGAAGAAGAAGGAGAAGAAGGGAAAAATGTGTGTCCGAAAGCTAATCATATATATTTTTGTACTTTTTGAAATGAACAACAAATATTGAATTCTTTGGAAAAAAAACTGGAAGAAAGTATACTAACAGAAAAATTTTTTTAAAAAAGGAATTTTGAAGTTTTTAGATAGCGTCGGTTCATATTTTCTTATAAAATGTTACGAAAATTCAATATTTTCCCACGCAGAAAAACTTAATTATTTTATCAAAGAAAACGTAAAAGAGATTTTTGGTAAGGCATTTAGCCCTAACACTTCAAAGCTCTGATTTTTCTGAAAAAAAATCTGAAGTTGAACTTCTGAAAAAGAATTTTTGAAGTATTCTAATATCTAATCTTGATAAAAATCTAAAGGCTTCCAAATCAAAAATTAATGTTTCAGACTTTAATTCAGAATTACAATTTTAAGAACTCAGGTTTTCGAATTTTCTGTTGAAAAATAATGAAAATGATCTCAAAAAAAATCCCACAGTATTTCAGAAAAAAACCAACTGACGCAAATCGACTACATTTTGCTCTCCTTCTCAACATAATCTTATCAACAGCAAAAAAATGAACTACATAAACTTCTGTAAAAAGAAAAAATATACTCTACTTTTGAGCTGCTTTTTCTTAGTTAAGCGGATGTTATTCAAAATCACACGTTTCTTTGAATACTATTTTTGAGCAAGAAAATCTCAAAACAACAATTATGAGCAAAAATTGTTGATCACAAAACTTTTTTTTTTCTCGTTTTATACAACAAAGGGAATTGTAAAGGCATAATTTTCGGTGGAAATTTAATTTCCGACAAAGATTCAAAAGATCAGGAAGTAAATAGACATGTTTTGTTAAAATCAGGTTGTAATTAAATAATTAATTGGATGGTTTTTTTTCTGAAAACACCACCCTTTAAGCTCTTCTTATTCATTATTTTTCTACATAATGAGTGAATGAAAATAATGAGCTTTTTTTTCTTAAGAGAATTTTTGAGATAAGAAGATTAAAAAGTTAGTTCCTTAAATTCAGAATCAGATAAATTTTCATGAGTTGAAAAACAAAAATAAAAATTCAGAGAGCCAATCTTTAGGCTTGAAAACATTACGTTTTTATAAAGTAAATCCAGAAAAAAAATATAAAATAATATTATTTATTATTGTCAAATAGGTCGTTGTCATTCACCTCAATGTACTTCCTGAATACATTTTTCTCCCTACTTCTTTTGTTCTCATTTCCTTTTTTTATTTGTGTTTTTTTTCTAAATTTTTCTTATCTCAAAAAATTTAATAGAAAACTTCAAAAAAAACAAACTGTGTTTCGGTTGCCCGACAAATAAAATATGATTGAATGAGTAAATAAAATATAACCCTCTCAAATTTATGGACCATCTGCAAGTTTTTTGCAGTTATGTGGGAAATTTCAATTTGTTTTTAGATGATGTGGATTTTCAAAATAACAAGAATATGAAAACTTTTATGTCGTTGTACTAAAATTTGTGGTTGGATATAAAAAAAAGTTCCAAGAATTTTTGAGAATTATTTTTGGGTTTGAAAAAAAGGGACTGGAGAACAAATTTGTGGAAATATACAAATCTGGGGATTCTTGATTTTGAAAAAAATCCTGGATGCTCCATGAGAATTTAAATCTAGACTACAAATAGAAATCAGGCTCAGATGGTTTTTGTAAATAAAATAAATTTTGAAACTACATTTCTTCAATTTTTTCCAGAACTTTTGACGATTGCTCATGTAGGGTTAAATTCTGGCAAAAAAATAGCAATTTTTATTTCAGATTAAAAATCAAATTTTCTTGAAAACTGAAAGCAAGGAAATTAGCTTCTGGAGTTTATTTTGAAAAAAAATCATGAATTTAAAAAATTTGTTTGAAAACAAATCTGAAAGTCATTTTTGATTTTTCAAATCTCCAACCCCGAATCCAAATTTCCCCCTCCACATTTCAAAAAAATGTGAAAATTCAGAAAATTCAATTTTTACCTCTTTTTTTCTTACTAATTCCTTTTCTTTCGCTAGACATCATTTTTGAAGTGTTTCCCATTTAGTTTTTTTTGTTCACCACTTTTTTTTTGCTATTTTGAGCCGAGTTCGAGAAAACAACTATTTCACACTTTTCACTGTGAATATAATTGCGTTTTTCTCTTTTTTGAAACCAGATATCTGCTGAATTTCAGATGGAGAGTTGGCTAGAAAATTACATGAAAATAAATAAATAAATAAATAAAAATATTTTGGTAAACAAGAATTCTCTGGGGAATAATTCAAGTTTCGGAATTGTAGCCAGAGACTTCCAAAAAATTTTGATTTATTCAGTTTTTCTTCAATCTTCTTCATGAGAAACCGTTGTTTTCAGATAAAATTTTCTGTTTTTTACGGTTGACCTCTTTTATCTATTTTTCTATATGAATAGCCTTTTCTTTTGAAATTTGTTGTTATTTTGTTTGGAACGTCGATGAAGATGCAGAAAAGCGAAAAAGCAAATTTGAAAACAAGCTTCTCTTTTTTTTTTTGACTTGTTCATAAATTCTATTTTTCAAAGAGTTCCAAATAGATTTTCAGTCAGGCAGTCAGTAACAAAAACATGTTCACCTGCTTTTTTTTCTGGGGTGATATGTTAAAAACATGTTTTTTTTTGAAGAACAAATTCAGATTTAAGAATATTTTTTTCAACCGGGAAATTCAAATATCTCGCCATCAAAAATGTTAGTCTACATATAGATTTCTATAAAAAGAGACATTAAAAATAAATCTAATCTAAAAAAAAAGAAAGAACAATCGAGTTTTTGAATAATACATGTTATTTCCGTGCTGGTGTATTTTTACAGCTTCAACGCGCGCGTGTAAATATATTTATTCATTTTTTGTGTGTTTTTTTCAGACGACGTCTAATAAGTATTCGTTTTTTCTTGTTGAAATAAAATGGAGAATGACGACATTGGTGATGCGAAAGATGATCATTTGAATATGGATTATTTAGATGATCGGAGGAGTTCGATTCGGTACTCAATGTCATCGAGGTAAAGATCTGAAATTTTGAAAAAATGTATGTGTATTGGAAACTTTAGTCTAAAAAATTTTGATTTTTTTTAAAGATTTTCTTGAAAAATTGAGCTTCAGATTTCTAGAATTTTTTCTACAAGACTAAAGCTCAATGTTAATTCTGGCGTTTTTCTGAAAACCTCTTCATTTTATCTGAAATCTTCGCTTCTGATTGAGGCCCTTTATTTTCGAACACACTTCAAAAGTTCAACCCACTCCTGAACGTTTGATTTAAACCACCTGCTCAAAATTTCTCATTTTTTCAATTCTCAAAAACATCCATCTTCTCGCAAAAATATTATGACGTATTTATGTATAGTCAGACCGAATCCGCAGAATTTGAAATCAGAAAATCATGATACATAGTTCATTACACCTGACTCGTTTGGTGCAAATTTGTAGTCTCTTGATTTCTCTGGAAGTTTTCTATTTCTTTTCCCATAAGATTTTTAGTGTTTCCGTGTTTTATGGGCAAAGATTTGTGTTTGCTCATAAAAAATCTAGAAATTCGAGAAATATTCTAATGCTTTTTGTGAAGAAAAATGAATTTCGAAGAGTTCGATTTTTTTTTTTTGGATGAAAGGTTGTTTTTTGAATAATTGTCGGAAGCAATCTAATCAGCTATTCTGAAAATTGCACACTTAAACTTTTCTGAACACCTTAAAGTTTTTTTCAAAAATTGTTTCACGAATAGAAGAAAATTTATGTACATTTCCCCTAAAAGAAATTCAAAAACCCTCCACTTGTGGTAAAATCAAATTATTTTTCAGACATTCTTCGGTCTCGATAAATCTCCCGATGGAAAATGGACTTCTCGGTACAAATTACGTAGGTTTTTTGCTTTCTCTTTTTTTTTTTGGATTTGTCAAAAAAAATTGGCTAGTCCAAAGAAAGGTTCAAAATTTGTTCTTTTTTTGGCGATGTGTGAATTCTGTTGGTTTAGTTTGAAACTTTGGGAAAATTAGATTTTTTGTTGCATTTTTAAAATGATTTCTTGCCTCAAATGTTCATCCTTATCGTAATTTTCAAATTTTTCAAAGCCAGGAACTTTTTAAAGTTTATGTTGAAAACCTCTTTGAATCTGAAAACCTTTTGTTCGTTAGAAAATAGAAACATTTCAAGCTTTTGATGATAAATTTTTGAACTTTTTCATCCAGACTTTTCTGAACACCGGAAATTGGATTTTCCTTCAATTTTTTCCAAAAAAAATTCTGAATGTCATCCTTGAAATCCACAACCTTTTTGAATTTATTTTGTAATTGTCAGATTTAAAGTTCAAAATATGTTATTTGTCTGATCATCAGATTTTTTTCAAATTTTCTGAAATCCAGAATATCATTTCAAAAATACCCTGAAAGAAAACTTTCCAAGCATTTTTCTTTTTCGTTAATCCACATAACCATAAAAACTATAATTTTCAAAGAACCCTCCCCCGATTTTGGAAAAGCTTTCATCTCTACCACAAGCCTTCACAATTCTATTTTGATCCTCATTTTTTTTTCAATTTCAAAATTTTCTAGTTAATGCCACCAAATGAGAGAGCATCTTCATCTCGTTTATCGACAGGATCTGCATGGGACAGCTTTCGTTTATCCGTCGTTTCATTCTCAAAGGTTTGTGACATTTTAATTATATATATTTTTATTTTTAAAACTACTGCCTGCCTACACAGTATTTTGATTCTATTTTTGTTTTTTTTTTCTTTGAACAAGAAAAAAGAAAAACATTTCTGTTTTGAACTAAAACAGAACATCATGGTGAGTCAAAGAAAAGAATTATCGAAGAAAATTTTGAAGGTGAGTTCAGGAAGTAATAAAATTTGTATATCTTGTATCCTTTCTCATAAACGTCATTTTTGAAAATCCTACAAAAATAAATTGAGTGTTTTTTGTGGTTGCATAAATAAATAAAGTTACAGCAAAAATGTTGTTTTCTTTTTTTCGAAATTGGATATTTTTTGAGATTTGTTTGTTTTTCAGACCAAGAATGCGAAGAAAAACTGAAATTTTTAATTATTTCAGATATTTTTTCCAGCATTTTAGGGTCTTTGAAGATATTTATGTTTGAAATCTCTTCATTTTACATTAAAATCATTAAAATATTAAAAAATACAAGATAAATTGTTAGAGACAACGTAAATTGAAGCGAGTGCAGACATTTTTTTTGTAAAATTTGCCTATATTTTGATATCTAGAGATAACGTAAAATTGAGAGAGTCTAGACAAAAAACCTGAATTTTCCGGAATCTCTCAATTTCGAGTTGTCTATAATCAGAATAATATTTTGTATTTCTGACCTGCAAAAAATCCCCATTATCAAAATTTCTAACAAAAACCTGCATTACTCCACTGGAAATTTTTAATCTTATGTTATTTCCCTAACAAAATTATATCTAGAATAACCTTTTCGATTTATAATTGTACCTTTCTTTTTATTTTAAATATACTTGATTTCACTTTTGAAAATTTCAGAGCTTCGATGCATCAAAAAACATGATTTAATTAAAGTTGATTGAACAAATTAATTACGTAACTTTCATAATTTCCATTTCTAAAAATAATGAACTTGGTCCCATCGAACCCTGATTATATTGCGCCCGAGTATCCTGAAAATATTTCATGTTTCAAAACGGTAAGAGCTCATTAATTTTTTCTCCATACATATTTATGGAAAAAATTTATACTAATTAATCATATTCTTTTGAATAAGAAAAAAGAGCATCTTGAAATACATATGAATAATTAATTTGATTCATATTTCTTTCTCATTTTCAAGAATGAAAAAAACTGCAAGACGAGTAAGTTTTACTAACCTTTTTTATTATAGGAATCAAAAATAACTCTGAAATCAATTTTTTCAGGTTTTCCTAGTCGCACCATGTTCTCGCCACAAATGCTGTCTGGGTTGTATTTCTTTGAGCGATGCTATTCCACTGATTTGTGTCGCGGAAATCTTTACAATGGGTTGGTCAAAAAATTTTTTTCAAGAAAAAAAATCATGTTTTCAGTATTCTTGACAATGGTTGTTTTGGATTTTTGGATGACTGATGGCAAAACTTTTTATACATTTTATTTTGAAGGATATGGAAATGAAATTGCATTATGTTATGCGATATTTTTATTGGTCTCTCTTCCAATTTTATGTGAGTTATTAGAAGTTAGGATAAGCTAAAGGGGATAGGTCGTGGCATTAGAATTTTAAAAGTACATAAGAATTAAGCATGGTTTTGAGATTCACAAAAAATATCTGGATTTTCAAAAATTAAAGAAACATTAAGGGTCTCGAAACGATTTAACATATTTTGGAGCAAGGCTTTAACACAATAAATATTAAGTGTTTAAAGGTGCATGCTAAGAGCACATAAATTTAAAGGAGCATAGAAAAATTCAGAAAAAAACGCACCCCCTTTAAATTTATATTTTTTCAGTGTTCACTTTATACTCTTGGTACATCAAAAAGAAATATCTCTATGTTTTCCACGTTCTCTGGCAATGGACAGTAATTGAAATTCTATTATTCTACACTTATATTGTCTTCAAATGGGTTCGAATATCTGGCGGAAATCACAAAACCGGCATTTTAATACCAAGCGCATTTGTTATTGGAGGCGCTGCGTTTCTTGGTGCACTAATTGAATCCTGGTGGTATGTACATATGCTAATTAGTTTTTTTTTAATTGCATTCAGGTTGTTTGTCTTTGTTGATGCAATGTTTTTCGAGAATCGTACAACTGAAAGGAAATATTCATCTTCAGTTCATAGCAAACGACAATCTTCTTCACATCACACAAGAGGAGTTAGTTTTTGTGCACACTTGATTCTGTGTCTGAAGTGTACACAACTTTGTTAGCAAACTCTTCACAAAATGTTTTTTTCCAGCTGGATTACGAATCCGAGGGAAGTGATAGTCGCCGAAATTCAGCCACGATACCTATAGTGAAAATTGACCGCACACAATCTGTTGATTATATTGATCCACACGATGTATACAGTGCAACTTCTTCTCGACAATCTGCAGTTGAAAATGTCTAGGTTGGGGAAACATGTGTTTTTTATTATGGGTATTGTATGATTTGCATAATTTCTGTTGATATTCTGAAAATAAATGAGTTTTGAAAAAGTAAAACGTTGTACTTTATTGCAAACTTCAAGTTGATATTTTTCAATAAATAACTTTCTGCAAGTAGTTTGTCAAACTGAAAGTAGACAAAACATAGGAATAAAAAATAACCACAATCAAAATATTTACGACATAAGTAAAGAGAAAGGAACAAGTTTTTTTGTTAGTGGATTGGCGCAATAACAACAAGAGGATTGTTGATGTATAAAGAATACAAGATTCTGATGGTATCTTTATCAAATAAGTTAAAAGTGCATCAAAACAGAAGGTAGTATAAAGGTAGATTTGATTGAAAACAGTTTTCATAACATTCAAAAAAACACAATGATCAAAATTCTATGGGTGATCTTTGTCGTGGCTGTTTTTGGGTAAACTTCCTCTTCTTCAAGAAATGTTGAAGGAAAATTTTATAAAAATTTCAGGAGAGATGTCCCAATGAATGGACCATTCGGTGCAATGAGAAAACCACCACTACCAATATTTTTATTAAATGTTCCGGAGGATGTCAAAAATGAATATTACGATCTTTTAGGCAATTCGCAATTGACAATTGCTGAATTGAAAAATGGAATTGAACATCTTGCAGCGGAAAATAATGTTTTGGTAAGGATTTTCTGGATTTTTAACAAGGTTTTTGTGATCGCCTGGTTTATAGTATCATTTTTTCTGAAATCCTTTGGCTTCGAATATCAAGAAGTTTTCCAGATTTTTTTCACGCGCAAATCCTTTTGTTCAAAAATGCTTTCTAAAAATTTTATTTTCAAAAAGCAAATTTATTTCTAAAAAAATAACATCCAGAAAGTAAGCCAGGAATCAAGTTTATCTTTAAAGTTAGAGGATATCCCAAAAGTTACCCTAACTACAAAAAAATCAAATTGTTTGTATTCCCTGACCTCTTCAACCTGAAACCTTATATTTTTCAGGATGAATATTATGCCCACGAGGATCAAGATTCTTACACAAAACATTGGTTGAGTACCCAACTCGATGAAATCCTCAAAAAATTGCCCGAAACCAAATCCGAAATCGACAAAGTTATGAATGATAACCAGCTGACAACAGTGTTACAAAACAAAAAGATGTTTGATCTGAACAGGAAATATCCAACTGTACTATTTATCTTTTTCTTTCTTTGATATTTATTACAATCCTTGTCGATTTTTCAGGAAATCGCTATAATCAACTACATTGTGAATCAAGTTCTGGTCACTGCCACAACACGTCAAGGTCAAATTACAACAGCCAACAAAATTTTAGGAGGATCGAAACCTTTTGGGGATTTTGATAAAGCTGGAGAGAATCGTGATAAGGTTCCTAAATAATTTCGGTTTTGAATCAAATGAAAATGAAGTGATTCAGTTTTCTTTCAAGTGTTTGTGTGAATAGAAAAAACAAGATATATAATATTCAAATTATCTTTTTCCCTTTTAATTTCTTTTGTTTCGCAAAAAATTCGAGAGAGGGGAGAAATGAAAACAAAAAGACAATGATGAATGGGATGAATTTTGTTGAACCGGTTTCAATCCAGTCATACTAAAAATGGAAATTGAAATGTTGGAAAAAATTTGAATGTTCAAAATCCACATCAATTATTTGTTGTATAAGGTTTTAGTTTTCGGAAAAAAAATTTTTGAAATTGTTCTCTAGAGTTTAGAAATTTTTTGAAAATTCAAAAAAAGTAGTCTTGAGTGGGGCTTGAACCCGCCATCAAAACAGGTTTATGAGCACTTACCGCCTGACAATTTTTGTAGCTCTTTTTGAGCTCCGCTTGGAGAAAAATAGTTCATTTTTGTCTCTTTGGCTGGCTAAAAATTGAGTTTCAGCTTTCTGGGTCGAGCTTTGGATTAAGGAACTTCTAAATTCGAAATGCTTTTGGAAAATTTGAAAATTATGTGAAAAATAATTCGCAGATACTTCTCAAGTTTTTTTCCTCATTTTCAAAAAAAAGTTCCTCCCATGATTCCTTGTTTATTTGTATACATCATCTCATCTCATCCAAATTCATCTTTTGTTCAATTGTGGGAGGAGAAAAGGAAAAGAGGAAATAATGAAAATCAGAAATAATAACAAAAAGAAAGAGGAGGGATTGAAGACAGATCAGCTTTTTCTTCTTCTTCTTCTTTCCTTTTTTCTTGTATTCGCTTTTTCGACCGATCTAGTGTTGTACAACGGCACGCAGTTCGGTTCTAGTTTGAAATAATTGTTTTTTTTTTGTGGTTTGGTTTGGAAGGAATAAGGTACTTGACTTAATTTGAAGTTTGTACATTGATCGATCAATTAATTGAATTATGACAAATATTCTACCATTTATTGTTTTGATATCTACGGTTTTGCTGATTATTCCAGGTTTGTCAAGGGATCTGTAACATTCTGGGGGTAGATCAAGAACATATTTTTTCCTGAATCTCGAATTTAAAAAAAAAAATTTTTTTGGATAAAACTGGATTTTTTTCTGGGAAGGTTGTTTTAAAAATTCTAGAAGGATTTTAAAGAATTTGATTTTAAATCCTTAGAGATATTTATTTCAGCATAATTGAACACCCTTTAGGAAAAAAACCTTCTGAAATTTGAAGCCAAGAGTTTCCAATTTCAGAAAGAACATATGCACAAGGCGGTGAATCTAGAATATTTTGATTCTAGATTAAAGGGACAACCCAGTTTTTTTTTCAAATCCAGGGAACCTTACAAACTGCCAGCTGGGTAGATTCCAAAAAATCCCAAAAACTATTTGCTTATTTTTCCAGTTGGCTCAAAAACAACACAACTGATATACAAGCGATTCACAGCCGAGACATGTAAAAACAATCCGTGTTTGAATGGCGGAACTTGTACCCCTGGAAAGCTCGCCTGTCAATGTGCTCAAGGATGGATGGGAAGATATTGTCATAGTGAGTTCGGGCTCAAAAGTTTCAAGTTTTGGGATTTTTTCTCAACCTGATTGTACATATGTTACAACACAATAACAAAATCATCTGATTCATTATTATCAAAAAAAATCCGAGGAAACCAGAAAATAGATATATCATAATAACACATTTCTACGATTACGACACAACAATCCAGATTTTTTTTGCGCTTCCTATTTATTATCGGCGCGTATGGTTTAATCGGTTGGTGTTCAATCGGAAAAAGATAATAGGGTGTTCGCGCGCGCAAAACTTGATTCTGTCTTGTTTTTGAACAGTTTCTGCCATTGGGGATGAAAAGGAAGATGTTTCAAATCGGATTACGTAACAATAAAAAAGTTGTTTTTTCAGGAAAGTGTCGTAACATTTACAAAAGTTGTGATCGCTGGGCAGTTGAGGATAAATGTCACACTGTTTTGACTCAAACCAACTTTTTCGATGTGAACTGTGCGATCTCGTGCAATATGTGCACACCAGATCCAACTTATGGTAAGTTGAGATGACAGGGGAGCCTCAAAAGTGGATTCATTGTTTTCAGAAGCTCCTGAGATTCCACTGGCTCCAGCTTTAGAGCCAATGCAATTTTTCTTGGGAAAATGGCATTCGCAAGCATCAAAGGGACTTCGATTCCCAACGGATTTATATGATAATGAATATGAGGAGACGATTGATATTGCGCCAGCAAATGTTCCAATGTTTGGGCCACCATCTTTGAATTTTACGTGAGTTTTGGGGTTGAAGATTGAGACAGGGGATTCAAAATGTTCTATAAAATTTATGAGCAAAATTTGGAAAAAGTTCAAACTTTTATCCTAATTTTCTGGTTCCACAAGTTTTTGGTTTTCTGAAATTTTTCTAGGTTAGTAAAATCAGCTGACGAAATTTTACAAGGAATTTCTTTTTAAAAAAATTACCCAATATTTCTTTTTTAATTTCTCATCATATTTCAAAAATTCCTAGTTTCATCGAAGATCTGATCTGATATTTTTTAAATTAAAATTTTTCTAGAAGCACATCCTGGTATAAAGATGATGTCCGAGTTATGCATGGATTCATCACCCTGAAGCCAAACTCATTCCCACCAGAGGTTGCAATTTTATCAACAAGTAATGAAGGATTAAATATGATCGAGTTAGGAACACTGAAACATCATGTTTTAACTCTAAATGTTTCGTATATGCAAGTTCATCCAATTATGGATAGCACAGTTTTGCCACTTGGAGTGAGTTTTTTTCTCTGTTTTTTCAAAAATCTTTAAAAAAAATTGTTTGCAGGCGACTAGAAGATTCCGTCGAGTTGGATCCCTTCTAGAAATGACAGTAGCCAAATTATTCAGTGATAATAAAGTGTCGCAATTCAAGAAAATGTTCCGTAAAATTGGCGAATACGCATTCTAATAGTTCTTTTTTCTTCTCTTAATTTTTTTAGTCCTAAATTAGGATTTTTGCATATCTCAAATTCCTCCAATTATTTAAATTATTGTTATTTCCTGTGTCTGTACATAATAATTTCAGCTGTTCTGTTCGGTTGCTTTCACGTGTATTACATAAAAATAAAAACATTAAATTAGAATTTCCTTCAAATATTGAGCACGGGTTGGTTGAGTTTCAGCATCGGCTGAGCGATTGTAAGCGGTCCATTTTGGATTGTTGCGGAAGAGGCGGATCGCAGTCACGTCTTCCTGGAAAAAATTGGCAAAAGTTTAAAAAAAAATCTAGATCCCAAAACTAACCGCTGTATCTGGAGTAAAACGATGATAAATTCCAGCTGGCAAAAACACAAAATCTCCTCGTCGAACTGGAATTCGAATCCATTTTTCATCAACACTTCTAACATCAAAATACCCGACGCCGTTTTTGATGATTCGAAGTTCAGCATCATCATGGAGATGTTCTTCGAAGAAGATTTTGAGCTAAAAAATTCAATAATTTATTCCTTCAAATTTCAATCCTACAAACCTTTGCTTCAAAATCCGGCATAGTTGCTTTGCAAATTCTGATCTCATCCCGATGATTCATATCATAACTTCTGACAAGTTTCTCCAAATCTTCTTCAACGTTTGGATCATCGAAATTGACTTTTGTGGTTTCAACTCCAATTTTCTTAAGATCTTCCACAGTTGCATCAATGTTTGGAGTTAAACGACATTCATCGCGTTGATCAATGTCTCCTCCAACATCACACATGAAATAGGCCATCTGAAAATCTAATTTTTCAAAAAAAAAATTGTAGGAAACCCCAATCAATAGATCTCTCTGACAAAATGATGTAAAAACTGATAACAAAAAATGTGAACATTAATTGTTTTATTGTGGTTTATATATAAACGGTATTAATATTTTAAAAATTTAAAATCTTCTGAAAGAAATTTGCACCAAAAAAATCAATAAACACATTTGATCTCTGACAAAATTTTCAGAAAAACTGATAAAAAATAATTTGAATATGCATTATTTTATTGTTGTTTTTTGACATTATTATAAGCTTTTGATTCAAAAATTGACATGAGGTACAAAAAAAAAAGTGTGTGTGTGTGTGTTTAAAATTCGTTAAGGAAAATGAAAACCGTATCGCTTATCCGTAAAATCAACTTGAGATATAAAAATTGGACAAAAAGGCAGATTAGCACAGCTAAAAAACAAAGAAAAAATCGTGGGCCTAAACTAGAATGGAAAGCATTTTTTTGAGATAGAAAACTGAAGTTAATTGAAATGAAATGATCTAGAGATCATATTATGGGTGGGTGAATGATGAAAAGAGAAAATGTAGAATTTACAAGATTAACAAGAAATCATCAAGAGATCAGAGACAAAGATCGGACCGTGAAAAAAAATTGGGAGAAATCATTGCTCATTACAGACAGGTTGACTACAAATATGCTAGAAAAAATAAAAATGGATCAAAAATGATTAAAAATGAGAGGAAGAAGACGAATTATTGATCAATCTTGACTTTTCGTTTCAGCGCTTGTCTTCTTGTTGAAATAGCTGGCTCTTCAATAATTTCATCTGATTTGATGATTTGACCTTCGACAATTTTTGGTATTGTGGTTTTTTTCGGGCTGATTGTTTTGGGGATTATTGGAGTGCTTGATGGCATTGTTGAAGAGAGTGAACTTTCACTTGCCGATGCAGAAAGTCTTGTTCGAATGTGATTCCGAAGACTCATCTCGTTCTGGAATTTTTTTTGGGTTTTTGTAGTTAGGTTTCAAGGTTCCAAAGTTCAGGTTTGTTCCGGAAAATTTTAAAAAGTTTAGTCAGAGATTTTGAATAAGATCCTGATTTCAAACGTCAATTTGAGCTGTTAAAAATTTAAATTCAAAAAATTTATAAAATACTGAAAAATTCAAAATTTGTAGCCTGTTATGTTAAATCCTAAGGAGCAATTTTCCAACGCTGAATTTTTCATTTTTCAAAATTTAGACCTATCAATTTTGAAGAATACATTGTTGTTACAAAATTTTCAGAAAGTCCCGAAAAAATTCCATATAATTTTTCCTATTCTTCCAAAACCAAACAAAAATATTTTTCAGTTCAATAATTCTCAAAAAAGGGCATTTTCTAGACGCATCAATTTGTTAAACTAATTTTATTGTGTTGAAAAAGGTTTTATTGTAAAGTTTCTTTTTTCTCTCTCTCCTAAGTTTTTGACCAGTGGTTTCAAAGAAACAAAAAATCTACTAATCAATTTATGGACTTTTGGAATTCACGTGCAAAACAAATGGAAAAAATGAACTCACTCTTTTCACAAGACAAGTTTGATGATAATTGGTTCTTTCCATACTTTGTGAATTGTCTGATGGACTTTTAAATCTCAATTTACATTTTCTGAAAAAAAACAAGTTTTAAAATAGTCCAGAACTAGAAGCCAACTCACTTATCAAAACCAAAAACGCCATTGGATCCAACCAAATCTCGATTTCGTTCTTCAGACCGTCTCAATCCAGCTAATCCAATCGGCTCTTCGCTCAAACTTTTCTCCTTACTTTTCCAAACTCGATTCTCATTTGTATTTTTTCGTTTTTTCGAATCTTGATCAATGGTTCCATCCTGAAATAAAATTTCATGTATGTTCTTTGAGTTTGAAAAATTAGAAAATTTTGGGAAGCGGGTGTGTATTTTTAAATTTGAATATGCAATTATCATTCGAATTTTGCAATTTTTTTTTTGAAAAAGGTTCGTGAAAAAAATATGACCCGAAAGAGCATCTTCTATGGCAATTAAACTATCCCGTAATTTGTCGGTCAGCTGATTGAAAATTTTGACCCCCCCCCCCTTTCCAGCCCACAAAAAAAAACACAAACCTGCGTAACTGAAGATGACGCTGATATACTTCCAAAACGCAACGAAATACTTTCAATCGTCGGAACCAAATCATTTGTATCCGATGATTTTGTATCCATTTTATTTTTCGTTCAAAGTGGTCTACCCTTATCTGAAACCAAAAAAAAAACAATCAATAAATATTCTTTTTGGAATATGATTTTGCAGAAGCAAAAGACAAATGCGAATAACAAAAAACAACAACAAAAGAACGGAAATGTTCAGTTGAAAAAAGGAAATGGTTGATGTTTTCTGTGAAAAATTAGTCATCGCCTATTATAGCAAAAATACATAGTGTGTCGTTGTTATCAGTCAGTGTAAGTTTGATATAGAAATGGGAGAAAGTGTGTGTAATCTATTGCACAAGAAGGTGATGGAACGCTGCCAAAAAAAAGTAGGGGCGAAAATAGAATTGGTAAGAGAAGAGGGGAATGAGAATTGCGGCGAAATAGTGTGGATGATGAAGAGGAATAGAGAGTGTGTGGACTTGGCTGGTGGTCTCAATCCCTAATCTCCCTTTTCTCTCCTCTCCCTCCTCTTTTTCCTCACTATTTTCTCTCCCGCTACTATGTAGGTTTATTTTTAGCAACTCGAATTCAGAGAGAAAAAGACACACACAGGCTGAAAACATTCTGAATTTCATTATCAGCTTTAGGTTTTTGCTTTTTTTTGCAAACTGGGCCTAATGAATAACAAATTTCAATGAAAAAAGTTTGTCAGCGAAAAAATTGACATTTTCAATGAGCCTTACATCGTTTGATAGGGGTTTTCAAGCTGGAAAAGATCATGGCGTTGAAAAAGTTTCTGGAAATCTCGAAAAGTTTCTGGAAATCAAGCTTGGAGTTTGGTAAAAATTGAAGATAAATTTTTCACAAAAAAGTTTTACCAGCTGATTTTGGAGAATTTCAGGCTGAAAATATTATGTTTCCAGATTTGACTTAGCTGAAAATATATCTTAAAATCAAAATTATGAACGCTTGTAACTCATTTGAAATTAAAATTTCCTAAAAACTATTGTAGATTAAAATTAGGCGGATTTGTATGCTCATATTAACATCAGAATGGAGCTAAAAATGTCGGTTATCAAAATTTTATGTATTGCTCATGTTAATTGGAATTCGACCGCTAAACTAATTATACTAGAGAAAATTGTGTTTGGAGGGTTTTTCAAAATTTTGAAAATTTCACCAAAACTGGATTTTCAGATGAAATACAGCTCACAATTAAGAAGAGATTTTGAGTTTAATTTCAAGCACCCCCAAAATGAATTATGAAAAAATCAGAGATTTTTCAAGCATGAAGTCTCTTTGTAACACATAAATTTTTCATTCATTTGCACTTTTCAAGATTAAACAAGAAGAGGAAAAAGAAGTTATTTTATTTTATTAGTGGAAGAAAATGGTGAGAAGAATCGAATAAAATAGTAGAATTGAGGAGAGAAAAGAGGAAACGTAAAGAAACAAAACAACATGATGAAAACAAACAAGAAATGCGACAAAAAAAAAGAGTAACCTATCGATTTTCGCGGTCATTATTGGTCATACTATTATTATGACCAATATTTATTAGAAATATCTTTAGATAATGATTGAATTATTGTTTTTCTTTTCACTTTTCAATTTGGGAATCAAAAAATCATTGATGAAAATGAAAGCGTCAGCAAAATATATTTATATATATGAATTTCAAAGTTATCGTCTTGGTAACGGGAAAAGAAAAAAATTAGAAGTATTTTTAGAGGTGTCTATACTATTCTACAGTATTCTCTGAAAAATGTACTCAATTGTAGTAGCACAAATATATGTCTTTCCGGAAAAAAAACTATACGATTGGAGATTAAAAAATTTTCGGACTTTTAAGCTGTCTGAAAATTTGAGGAAAAATAGCCTGAGGCATAAAAGTGGAACATCGAGGGCTGGGAAAAAGTGTGAATGGATTTTGAAGAGCTTTAAATTATGGTACTTGAACAGAAATTTAAAGAAAATCTGACAGAAGTTTATGTCTGAAAATTTGAAAATCTTTGATTTTTTGGTTGAAAACAAGTTTGAAAAAATAGTTAGAGAACACTTATGTTAGTAGTAAATAATTGATTTCAAGGTTTTTGTCTGAAAATTTGGAATTTCGTGCAGTTTAAAAATATTCACATAGCAACTTCATTTCAAAATTTAGAAAACAAAAAAAATGATGTAACCCATAATTTTCTAAACCAAACTTGAAATACCAATAAATCTTGGAAATTTCCAATTTCTAAATTATTCTGGAAATTCTAAATTCTATAAACCCGTAACTATTTGAAAATAAAACTCGAAATTATCAATTTTAAAAATGAGAAATGAAAATGTTTCCAAAATCAATATTATTTCTGAACCAAACTTGAAATATTGTGAAATATCACTATACAATAAAAGAAAAATCATCATTTGAGAAACAACAAAAAAAAAGTAAAAAGCGGGAAAGGACAAACACGATGTGTTGCTGATGTTCAATAGAGCGCGTTTGCTTCCCGCTTTATTTTCAAAAATTTGAAAAAAAACCAAAAATAGTTCAGTTCCCAAACGAAAAAAAAAATAAAATGAAATTGAATCACGACGAGTTGAGTGAAAAAAGTTGGTAAACAAATGAGTGAACACGTTTTGTTTTCCTTGTCAGAAATGGATTTTTTTTTGAGTAAAGTATGTATGTTTTATCAAAAAATAATATACAATTTGTTTATTTGGATAGCAACAATGTGAAAAGTGTACAATATATATGTATCAAATATATATATATATGGAGAAAAAATTACATAAAATTTGAAAAAACCTGAAGAAAACATAAAAATGGCATCAGTAAAAATTACAAGTATTTGTTTGTTTTTGTAGTTAAATTTAGTTAATCATCATGATCAACAATTGAATTAATTTTCTGTATGAAATCACTGATTTCTGATTTTTGAGCAGTTAATTTTTGGAGCTCTTGTTCGATTTGGCCACCAGCAATGACAGGTGGAAATACACAATTTGTGAGGATTTCCGGGGCAATTTTGAGTTGTTTGATGAGTTCTCCGAGTTCATTGCCGGTTCTTGATGCTTTGGTTCCGAATGCGCAAATGTCCAACTAGAAAAATATTATTGATTTTTTTGGAGTTTGAATAATACTTTGAAAATCTAGAAATTTTGAGCACTAGAGAATCCAGAGAGAAAATTTTTTTTTTGAAACATTTTCAGAAGTTTGGAATTTTTTATACAATTCTTTTAAAAACTCCCGAATGATTCTGATGCAATTTTGAAATTAAAAACAAATTCAGCAAACAAATCTTCTTTTTTCATAAAAGATTTTCAAGAAGTCCCTTCAACTTCCAAACAAAAAAAATATACTCCGAATCCAATATTCTGAGAAACTCACATCAACAAAGGATTCTTCGCTAACCATCATTTCATTCGAAGATCCTTCCATATTTTTGTCATCCTCTTCTTTTTCCTTTTCTTTGTCTGCATTCTCATCATTCTTCACACTCTCCTCATTTCCTTCCAAATTTTTGTTAGTTATATCATTTTCAGAAAGAGTCTCCGGAATTCTTGAGCCTGAAAAACTTTTTTTCATTTTTAGAAATGTGGTTTTGGCTGAAAAATTCATGTGTAGTTAAAAACTACATTCATAATACAATTTCAGTACATTTTCAGTATACTGTAAACTCACACAAACTGGCTTCACTATTTTTCTTCTCTTTCGGAGCATATGAAGATTGTAAAAGTGACAAAAATGGAAAAGAGTTTTTCTTAAGCAATGCAATCGGTGGTTTATCATCATCTTCCACCGAATTTGGTTGTTCTGAATTTCTCGACTCTTCGCTTGAAGTCGATTGACCCAATATGAATTTCGGGCCAGTTTTCTTGCTTTCCTCACTAGCTGCTTGAAAATTGCAAGTTGTTGCGCTCATTGGTGTTGTGACAATTTTCTCGCCTTTGGCCGTCTCAGCTGTTAATGGGATGCAATTTGAAAGTGAAGGACGATTTGGGATTGATGGTGTTGGAGTTTCATCGCTCTCCAAGGTTTTGTCAGGATCATCTTCCTCACTTTCACTGAAACATTATCTTATTTTTCTATTTGATGTGAGTTCAGTGTCGGTTTTATACTCACGCTTGCTTTTCATCAAAATCAAAATGCATTTTGGTTCGATATGTCAAATCCAAACAAACAGTTCCATATTGTGTTGGAAGTTCAGCCAATCTTCTGTGCTTTGATTCTTCTCCAAGATCCGAAATTCCAGTGCAATCATAAATCTGGAAAATCGAGAAATTATGGATTCTGCATTCTGATAGAATCCAAATTTCAATATTGAAATCTGAATTTTTTCCACCAAAATATTCAAAAACTTACTCTATACATTATGATAAACGAATCAATATTTTGTTTTTTGACATAAAGACGATGCATTGGTGTCATTCGAGCGGCACATGTTACAGATCTACAATAAAAACAAATTGGGGTTTTGGGAAATCATAAGATCAAACTAACCTTAAAAGTGTGCTCAATTGATGGTACAAATCTGATGACATATTCATGTTAGTGTCAGCCTTTTGATCGTCAACTGTTAAGGACCTGGAAAATTTTTTTTTCAAAAAAAATCTTTAAAAAAAATTAACTCACCAAGTTTCCAAAGGCAAAAACTGTCCAGACGCTGTGTACAAAACAAATTCCACTGTCAATTTTCCAGCTGGCGGAAGATGTCTGACTGAGCTCTTTAGAAGAGCTGACACCTCCCCAAGCTCATCGATTTTCATATTAAACCAGTCATGAGATTCTGGCGAAGCAACACAAGGTTGTTCGATGTGATCACCCAAGCGAGCCTAAAAAATCGATAAAAATCCAAGTTTCATCATTTATGAAAAAAACAAACCTGAACGAGTTGCTGTACCATTCGACTGCAGAAAAATTTCAGATATTTTTTGAAATCTCCTTTTGAGTCACACATTTTTGATATACAGACAGATACAGACAGAAAATGGATATATTATATTATTATTATACAAATAAAAAAAAGCGACCCGCAAAACTAATAATAGTAATCAGCTGAGCGTTACGCTAGAGCGTGTTTTCTCTGTCTCTCTACACACCACAGGGAATCGTGGCGAGACCAATTTGCATTTCTCGCCTGCATATCTAACCTTCCTCCCTGCTTCTAGCTTTTCCTTCATTCTTTGAGTTTGGCGTCCTCTTCCTCGCGCGGTGACTGCTTTTTGATAAAGGTTAGTTTTTTTCAGATTTTTCAGATAGTTTTTGAAGAATACTCTTTGAAAATAATTTTTAAAAAATGAGAAGAATGAAATTTGATTATGCTTTGAAATTTCGTTTGATATTTTTTGATGGTCCCAAATAAATTAAAAAATTTTAGGCCCAAAATTTTAGGCCAGAATTTTTAATAAAAATTTTTTAGGCCAAGTTTTTGACAAAACTTATTTCAGCATTAAACAATTTTTTCAATATTATTTCAAATTTTAAATTTTATACTGAAATTAATTGTTAATTATAGTAAAAACATAATATCGATTTTTTTCGTACAGTAGAGAAAAAAGGGATTAGCCCGGCAGCCGGGTCTCCAAGGAGATTATATTTCATATTGATTTTTCAACGCGCGCTGAAACGGATTAGCCAGTCAGCAAGCACTCTTGAAGATTGAGCCACTTTCTGAAATTATTATTCCAGCAGAGAAGAAAAGTACATTTTATATTAACTGAACAAAAAATCTCTGCTGATACTACGTGACTTATATAACATACACAGCAAAAAGGAGATTAGCCATGTTTTCAGCGAGCTCTTTGAATACATTATAGAATCTATCTACATGTGTTCCTTTAATATAAAAATATTGATTTTCTTTTAATACTAGTGGAAAAGGCCGACCCCGGACTACTAACTTCAAATAATTTTATCAAATAAAATCCCTTCATATGATACTTCTTAAGATTATTGAGCCCTAAATTGAGAATGATATCTATTTGAAAACGCCGTGTAAATATAAAAAAACCAATATCGATTTTTTCAGTACACGCGAGGAAGAGGGAACTAGATTAGACGCCAAGCTCCCCTGGATATCAACTCCATCGATATCCAGCGACAACGGGATTATTCCAACAAAAAAAGTTCGGAACATGCTCCCACAACTAACACAGGAAGTGCACAACTTCTCAGTGAAAATGTATGGAAATGATTGGTTTGAACTGGAGAAATTGCAAAAATCCAAGAAGCCAAACAGCTGCTGAAAATTATGATCCAACAAGAAGCCACAAAATCAAAAATTCGGAGCAACATTCCAAAGAGTTCGATGAAAAAAAATAAATAAAAAAATAAAAAAATTCAAAAAATAAAGTCAGTGCCTATTCAACAATCGATTGGATCAATCAAAGATTGTTGCAATGTGGTCGACTTGCCAAAAAAATTGTGAGTTTTTATGAAATCTGGGAAATAAAGTGGGATCGTTTTTAGTAAATATTGCAGCTCTGTTCACTATTTTGTTTTCAAAGCCTCCTTTAAACATGAGTTATGACGTGGCTTCAAAAAAGTTTAGCTTCTCAAAAATTTTATGAAACTTAGCTCATATGTAAATTCAATTCTAGGTTTTCAACTTTTCTGAAAAATTATGCGGTTTGAGAAATATTTTTTTTTTATTTCTTTGAGACAGATTTTTTGATTCAGAACTTCTGATTCAATATTTTTATTTGAAGTTAGACTTGTGAAATCCAAGGTTTCTAGTTCCCAGAAGTTGCTACGTCATAACTGCTGAGAATTGAAAATTTCTGAAAACAAGATCAAGATCAGAGATTCAAAACCTACCAGAAAAACATGAAAATATCTCAACACATATATATTTTTTCCAGGAAAAGAAACCGAACTCTGGAATGTTGTCTCAAATCTAAGTTGATTCGTGTCATTATTCAGGTCGAAAGACCTGAACATTACAAAAAAATATAACTCAAAAAAGCCCAAAAAAAAAACAAAGCCGAGAAGCCCAAAGCGAACATCAATCCGAGAAAAAATATGAAAAAATGCACAAAAAAATTGGAAAAATCAGAAGCTTGTCTTCACAAAAAATGTGAGTTTTTTAATAATAACTTTCCTGATACATATGTAAATATTCATTTTTTCAGACAAAAAAACTCGGAAATGTTCCCTTCAATGAAAGTTCAACTGAAACAACACAACACAAGATTGCGAGAAAAATCCCCGAAAAGGGGCCGAGCAGAAAAATTGAAAAAATCAAGAAACGTAAGTATTTTGAATTTTTATTTCTAATTCTGATGAAATTTTTTTCAGAAAAATCAAAAAAAGCAAAATAAAATGAAGAAAAAAACAATAAAATCCCAAAAAAATAAACCAAAAAGTGAGTTTGTCACACTGTCCCTTTAATTCTAATAAAAAATTTTTTTTTCAGAAAAAAGCTCGGAAAAGTATATCTGAACACTGATGTTATGAAAACAATGCCTCAACACACCAAACAACTTCACAACCTTACTGACACTTCAACCTTAAAAACATAACACAACAAAATGCGAGACAAGATTGCGAGAAGAATTCCCCGAAAATGGGGCCGAGCAGAAAAATTGAAAAAATCAAGAAAAAAAACAATAAAACCCTCAAAAAATTAATAAAAGTAAGTATTTTGAATTTTTTTTCTCTAATTCTAATTTTAAAAATTTTTCAGAAAAACAAAAAAATCAATGAAAAATGAAGAAAAAAAAACAATAAAATCCCATAAAATCAACCAAAAAGTGAGTTTGTCACACTGTCCCTTTAATTCTAATAAAAATTATTTTTTTTTCCAGAAAAAAGCTCGGAAAAGTATATTTGAACACTGCTGCTATGAAAACAATGCCTCAACACACCAAACAACTTCACAACCTTACTGACACTTCAACCTTAAAACACAACGCAACAAAATGCGAGACAAGACTGCGAGAAGATTTCCCCGAAAATGGGGCCGAGCAGAAAAATTGAAAAAAATCAAGAAAAAAAATAATAAAACCCTCAAAAAATCAAAAAAAAAGTAAGTGTTTTGAATTTTTTCCGTCTGATTCTAATAAAAAATTTTTCAGAAAAAGCAAAAAATTCAAAGAAAATGAAGAAAAAAACAATAAAACCCCATAAAATAAACCAAAAAGTGAGTTTTTCAAACTGTCCCTTTAATTCTAATAAAAAAATTTTTTTTTTCAGAAAAAGCTCGGAAAATTCAATCTGAAAACACAGCTGCTACGAACACCCAACCAAAAAACTTCAACCACAACTTCGAAACAGTCACGAATACTTCTACCGACAAAAAACACAACACAACGCGAGACAAGATTGCGAGAAGAATTCCCCGAAAATGGGGCCGAGCAGAAAAATTGGAAAAAAAATCAAGAAAAAAACAATAAAACCCTCAAAAAATCAATAAAAGTAAGTATTTTGAATTTTTTTCTCTCTAATTCTAATTTTAAAAATTTTTCAGAAAAAAAGCAAAAAATTGAAAGAAAATGAAGAAAAAAACAATAAAATCCCAGAAAATCAACCAAAAAGTGAGTTTGTCACACTGTCCCTTTAATTCTAATGAAAATTATTTTTTTTTCAGAAAAAAGCTCGGAAAATTCAATCTGAAAACACTGCTGCTACGAAAACAAAAAAATGGCTCAACAATCAACTTCGAAATCGAATCTGTTCAAAAATCATGAAATGACACACTCAAAAGATTTCTACAAATGCAAAAAGGGTGAGCTTTTCTGAATTTTAAAGAATTTACAAAAGTGATTTTTCAGAAACCCAACACTGAAAGAATAACAATCCAAAAAAATCCAAAAAAAACGCACTATTGAACGAAATATCAAACGGATCCAATCAGCACTTTCTCCAAACTCAGTATCAGAAAGGTAAGAGTTTTCGAAAATTACTTCTTGGAACTTACCAGATTTATTTTTTTTTTAGGAAAAAACACAGCATACATGGCACGAAACCCCCTGACAAATACAAAAAATGAAAGTAAGTTATTTTAAATTCGAGCCATTAATTTAAAGAAAAAAAATATTTTCCAGGCATACCCAAAGAATCTCACAAACGCTGCAATGAAGCACAAAGGTGGAAAAAAATTCCGGATCTCACTCAAAATGCCTGAAAAAACGGGCCGAAGAATTTCATGATCTACACACAATGGAAAAAAAGCAACTATCCGGAACTCACTTGAATACGCTAGTTCGAAATGTTGAAGAATCGATCTTGGCGAGGAATGATAGACTTTTCATCCTCAAATATTCACACTTTGAAACATCAAAAATAAAGTGTTGTTAAGAAATGATTGTGTTTTGGTTTTCTTAGTTTTTGAACAGGGAAAGTTTCAGGTTAGCAGTAAGATTTTTAAATTTTCCGGATAAGGAAGCCTGGTTAGATTTACTGAAATTATTATTCATAACTCTTATGGTAGATCTCAAAAAATATTAAAAAGTCATTAGATATTAGAAAATAAAACAGAAAATCTATAAAAAATGCTCCAAGTTTTGATTCAAAAATATTCTTTCAACACTAAAATTTTCAAAAACTCCTTCTATATTGAAACAAAAACCAAAATATCTAGATCAAGTTATCAATCACTTTTTTCGTACTTTGTGCGAGTTCCTTTCATTCTTCTCTTCACAGTTTTCATAACATTGTTCCTCATGATAAGCTAGAAAATCTAAACAATAGCAAAAACTGAAATGAGGTGACAGTTTTGTTAAATTGTTCAGACTATAAATTGCAAGTCTCACTAATCTGGTGTTGCATTCAAAGCCAATCAAAGAAAAAAAACGAACCAAAAACCTGTTACAAAGGATAGCCATCACATTTTGTTGGCTTTCACCCATTGGCTTTACTTTCGGTGTCTAATATGTACATCTTATCATTTCTCTTGTTTTTACCATTTATATTTTCACAGTAAGTTTTGTCTTGCGAAATTTTTTTAAGGTAAAAAAAAATTTCAGAAATGATCCTGCACAATTTCAAAATCTTCTCACAAATTTCTTCAAAATGTCTTCCAATTATAAATTGACACCAAGAACAACATCGAATTATGCAACAGTTTGAACTTTTTTCATTTTTTTTAAAGATTCAAAATAATTTCTCAAATCTGTTTTTTTCAGCCAATTAATTATAAATACATCGATCGAACTGAATATGCCGTAAATCGCCGCATTTTATCAAAGGTGATTAGCGAATAAGTTTATTAGAACAAGAAAAAACAAGATTTTTCAAGGTTTTTGAAAGTGATCTTGTTCTAACGAAACCGCAAATGGAAGATGTTATTGATACATTTCGATCAAGAATCACAGGAACACCAAAGAGGGTGAAAAGAAATGCGGCGATTGGTGGAGACAAATATCGATGGCCGAATTCGACTGTTCCTTTTGAATATAAGGATAATTCGAGTAGGGTTATTGATTTTCATGATATCAGAGAGGGAATCGGAAATCTGGAATATTCATAAAGCTTTTGGAGTTAAAGTAACTTCTGAATTCTAGGCATGAGATGATATTTTCTAAAAGAATTATTTTTAATTTTTTTAAATATAAAATCTGTTTAGTTTTAGCCAAATTCAAGCACAGAATCAAATTTTTTTCCAATTTTTTTTGAAGATCAATCATCTACTTGAGATTTCCTGAAAGAGTTGGGAAATTGAAAAATTCAGAAAATTCTAGACAGGTTCATTTTCAGATTTTTAAAAATCAAATATCTTATGAAAATTTCACCTCGAAATTTTAAGACAAAATTTATCAAAACTTTATTTCCAGCCGAATGGAGAGAAATTGTCAGAAATGGTATGAAACGCTGGGAAAAAGAGACATGCATCAGATTCCGAAAACACAACGGTGAAAAAGATTATGCAGTTTTCTTCAAAGGTGGAGGTTGTTACTCGAATGTTGGTAGAACTGGGGGACGTCAGTATATTTCAATTGGCTATGGTTGTGAAGGGGTAAGTATTTTTCATTAGCCAAAAAAAAATCCAGAAAGTTTTAGGCCGGTATTGTTGCTCATGAGATCGGACACGCTTTAGGTTTTTGGCATGAGCAAAGCAGACCAGATCGCGATCAATTTATTAATATCAACGAAGACAAATTGATGAAAGGAGTTCAGGGAAATTTTGAGAAAAAAGATGATTTGCAAGCAACTGATATACCCTATGATCTTGGGAGTGTTATGCATTATGGACCTCAGGCTTTTACAAAAGATTTTCGATATGTGACGATTGAAACTAAAGATCATCGTTTTCAACATACAATTGGACAACGGGGTGATCTTTCGTTTACAGATGTTAAGCATGCCAACAAATTATACTGTAGTCGTGAGTAAATTCTACCTGAAATTTCGAAAAATTCATCAGAATGTTCTCAAGATATCTGCACTCAAAAACTCTATTGTGAAAATGGCGGCTATGAAGATCCCTTAAATTGTTCAATGTGTAAATGTCCTCCAGGACTTGGCGGACAACGTTGTGAACGTATTGCTCCTAGTAAATGTGAGTTTTTCTTTATTGCTCTGATCTCGAGTTCAAAATTTTCAGATGGTTGTGGTGGGGAATATTTCGCATCGGCAAATTGGCAAACAATCACAAATACAGAAGTGGGAGAGTGTCATTGGCGTATAATTGTAATTTTTTTAATGATTATTTCAAAAATAACCCAAACATATTTCATTTCCAGGCTCCATCTGGTCGAATTCATTTCGAAGTGATTGACACAAAATACAAATGCGATTCTTCATGCGCTGAAAATTATTTAGAAATCAAACATTCTAAACATGCAGAGAGAACTGGGTTCAGGTAACTTAGTTAAGTGTCAGATCTGAAAATATTACAAGAATTTTAGACAATGTTGTAATCCAGTTCCCGGGCGAATTGTGTCGGAGAGTAACCAGGTTATAATCAATAGTATTTCTCAAGTTGCTCCAGCTAATTTTACGATCAGATTTATACTTGGTAAGTATGTATGAATAACTGTAAATTTTTGGGCTTCTGTGATTTTCTCTAGTGATGTTCTATATTTTGTTACAAAAAAAAGTTAACCTAACTCCGCCCTCCAAAAATATTTTTCTTGAGATTCGGCATCACATGTTCCACCTCCACCAGCCGCTTGGGAAGGAAATGGTGGATTAACTGGACTTTGGGGAGCAAATGAAGTTGGAATTGATAACACCTTGGAACAAGTTGTACTCAAAGATCTACCAAGAGTTTTACAAAATAGCAGAGGAAAACCATCAATTGGATCATTCTTCTCACTTCTTGACACATTTTTAAAATCCAATAATGGTGGAAAATAATTATGCTACATATGTTACATAATATTATAATAACTTTGACGATTTCATGTTTGTATAGTACGTTTATATAAATTATTTTCACTTTTTCAATTGTTTTTTCTGGAACCTGAAGTAGCCAAAAGTCCAGCTTGTTGTTTGAAATGAAATGAAACCATTTACCTTTTGGGTTGCTTTTTGATGACATTCTAAAACCGGTCATCGATTTGAGAAAAAATATGGATTTCTCCTTTTTCTTGTTCACTTTTCACCTTATTTGGGTTATTTTTTTTTGCGTGCGATCGTTCAAAGTTCAACTTTCTGTTTCTTTTTTGATTTATTTCTGATAGGAAAATGAAGATTATCAGATTTATGATATATCGTCCGTACGGACAATACCCTAATAAATCTGATTTTTTCAAAAAATGTGTAGCGAGACGCGTCGCGTGTAAAACCGTATTTATGGATGTTTTGTGTCGCGCCAAAAATACTGTAGGATGTTACTTATGTAGCTTTTTTGGTTGCAAATTGAAGAGAAATAATGAGACAGGATTTTTCTGAAAGTTTTGAAATACTTGTAATGAATAAGATGTATAGCATTAATTCTAGGTCGATTTTGAATTATGTTTTCTAAGGTTACCCTGTCTTTTCAGAAATTTTTTAAAATTCTCTGACCACTACTAATCAAAGAATAAAAAATCTGTCTCATAAAAAGTTTTTCCATCTATCTTTGATATAACTGAAACAAGATTTAGATTTATCTCTTCAAAATGACTCACTTCACCCAACTTTTTTTTCCATATACATCACATTTTTTCTGTTTGTATCTACACATACTTATTGTCTTATATATTTCACTTTTCTTAGAACAAAAAATACAAGAAAAACTTTAGGCAGTAAAAAAATGAACAAATCTCATAGTGGCAAGCAGCATGCGGTTTTTTCGACCGGTTTCATCCATGTTTTTTTTCATCATTTTTTTTGCTTATACTAATTCTTCTCCCGCGCTTTTTCTCATCATTAATCTCAAATATTTTTTTGCCATTTATCCGAGATTTTTCTTTCACTTTTTTTGAAACTTATTTATTATCGCATTTCATTTCGAGTTTTTTTTGGCTGTCTGTTTCACTATTTTGTTCAGTTGACGCATCATATCGTAATTATTACGATATGACTAAATAGGTTTAGGTTTGTTCATTTTTTTTTGAGAACTTTGTGAGGAAATTTTGCGGGGTTTTTTCAAATCTTTGAAAATTGATTTCCTTGTAACTTTCAAAATTTTTTATTGAAAAACTCTATTCACATATATTTTTAAATTGTTTCCGAGTGTTTAGATTTTCTGCTAAATTTTATCGATCGCTAAAAAATCTTATTTTCCTCTGGTCTTTTTTTAAAATTGGTTTTCATTTTTCATTTTCAAGTTGATTCCAGTGGTCTATTTTTCATTAAATTCATCGTGAACTCATCAAAATCATGTAAACAACAATAAACATCATCAAAACACTTTTGCAAACACGAACTTTTCGTTATTTTATTTTAATAATTCTGCAACTCAACTCATTTCATTTTTTTTTTCATTCTCTTTTGCAATTTCGAACATGTTTGCACAAGTTGTGAGGGGTGTATGAATAACACAATTGAGAATAAGCAGCGGCGAGCAGTTTTCTTCTTTTATATTGTAATTGAAATAAAAAATCACAACAATAACATTGTTTGAGATTTTGACACGATTTTCATGCCTTTTTGGCATTTTTTAAATATGATTTTTTTTTCAAATATGAGCCGGTTTTCTGATTTGTTAATGGATTTTGTTTTGTTGTTGAATATTAGGAGGTTGGCATTTTTTATTCATTTTAATTTTGGTGGAAGAGAAAATTGTTTTTTTTTCACTTTGATCACTTCTCCACATTGATTTGCAGTTATTTTTGTTTCAAAAATTTCCCTTTTCTGATTTGACCATTTCAATTCCCCTCTCATCCACAGACATACAAACTGTTTGATCTTGAAACTTTCTCATCCAAAACACATCCGCACATACAAAAATAAAATAAACACATGAAAGGCGACATGTATACAGTTAGTTTACACATATAAGATGAAGCGCAAATAAAAATAGACCGCCGCCGCAGCCGTATATTTTAATGAGTAAGCTTGCCTATTTTATTTCACACTTCACATATTCTTGAGTTGAGCTGAGAAGAGAAGAGAAGAGCTCCGAGACAATAGAATTTGGATATTATTTTTATTGTAATTAATACTTGTTATTGCTATTTATTATGGTATTGGCTCGTTTCGACTTGAGGTATGCAATTACATGCTCATCTTTATTTTCATTTTTGTTGTGAGCAAGACTGGTGTTTTTTGGAATTTCTATTTTATTTTTGTATTTTTGTATAGTTCAAAATCAAGAATTTCAGCTTTAGCTATTGTTTTTCAAAATTCTGATTCAAAACTTTCAATTTTTCAAAGCTTGAGATTAGTGAACTCCAGGAAAATCTGAAATTTAAATTTTAAAGAAACTTCTCCGGAACCTTCTACGAGCCCAAGTAACAATTTATAGATAAATTGAAATCCATGTGTCAAAATCTGGAATTTGAATTCACAGATTCAAAATTTCAAATTCCTGAATCCGAATTTTCGAAATATTTAAAGAAAAATCTGAAATTATCTTCCGATATTCCGAAATTTCTATTTTCTGACCTTTGCGGTTCATTTTGCTCTACAAAAAAATGCTGCGACAAAAACCAACATAGTTCAAGTAGGTATCAATGCACAGTATTTTTTGTTCAATTCTCGCTGTTTCTTTTCATTTCATTTCATTTCATTCCATTTCAGTAATTCAAAACAAAAATAAACAACACTTGAACCATACCTAAATACTTTTCTTCTTTCGTTTTCTCTCCGCGATTGTTTTGATACAAGTGGCGCCGCGTGAGCTATCCCTTGTGTTTTTTATGCCTCTACGGCTCTCGAGTACACCGAAATCTCGAGGTACTGTGTGTGTGTTTTTTTTTTTGTGAATCTTGTTGTCGGTCAGTTTTACAGGTAAAAGGAAAAGGAAAATGTGACTAGTATTGACCAATTCAATTCAAAAAACGAGGGTTATTAGTTTGCTCACTTATGAAGCATTGTTACATTTCGGTCATTTTTTTTTTGAACAAGGTTAAGAAAATATTTTGGTTTTGACAAGAATGTCCAGTTATTTTCCAAATTTTTCTAAAATTGGAATTTTTCGGGGCTTCAAATTTTTCAGACTTTTTTTGGATTCTAAAAATCATGCTTCTATTGATAATTTTGAAAATTTTTAGCCCAAATCCAGGACTTTTCCGGGTTTTTCACAGAGTTTTCAATAGCTCTAGAATCTTCAGAATGTTTTCCGATCTTCTGAAAAGTTCAAAAATATTCCTAGGCCATCTTCAGAATATTTTACGGGCTTTCCAGAATACTTTCGGCTGTTTCAGAGTCTTTCCCGGCCTTATGTTAGAAAAATAAGGCAAATTTTAAAATTAAAGATCTTTTTTTTAATTTGAATAATCTGCATTACAACTTTTGTGAAAATATTTTCCAAAAGCATTCCAGCTTCAAAAATTTTAAAAGATTTTTTTTCCCAAAATTTTAGACTAACTCTTGGGTTTTTAGAATTTAAGAGCTGTCTGCAGTTTTGAGATTCTGGATTCCCACCTCTGAAATTTTTTGAAGTTGTTCTAGAGCCTCAGTCTCAAATTTCTAAACCCTCCAAAACATTTTTGACCTTTGATTCCAATCTCCCTCAATCTCCATACAAAAATCACCACACTTGAAACCAGATCAAGGTTTGATCAAGAAAAAGCAAAAACGCGTTCAAGAGTTTCCAAATATACATATCTTTCTCTCTCTCTTATTTTCGATATCAAATGATACTCTCCAAAATTGGAGTCACTCATCTTATTGGGGCGGCGCGCTCAGACACACAAACACATCCAAACTTTTTCGCACATTTCGATACTTGAGATGAGAAATCGTGTTTAGTGTCCACTCGTTTCGTTTTGGGCTCATTTCAAGAGCACATATCATCATTCTCATTATTATTTTTATTTTGAGATTGATTTCAATTTTCATTTTCATTTTTGTTTAGATTCAACCTAGGTGTTCAAATCCGTATTTAAATTTATCTTGTTTTTATGAGATGCAATCCAGTCTCGTTCAAACAAGAAGAAGTCGAGTCAAATTAAGAATTTGCATTTCTGTTCTTCTTTTTCAATCAACCATAACTTGTGAATACATAAATAAATAAATAAATAAATATTATAAGATTCTTCCGCAACTTTTTCTCACACCACAATGTGTGTATGAGAAAAGATTAGGCTTGTTTGTTTTGTTTGTTTATGAATAATCTTATTCCAAACCCATCTCTGTTATTTTGAAACCACCCCCTCCCCAAAATCAAATCCAAAACTTCCAGACCAATCTACGCGCACAGATCTCCAATGGATCGTCCGTCGGGACACACATCCAATAATTTAGTCAGCAGAATTTTACAGGTATCTAGTTTTTTATGGACTTCACTTATGCATCTAGAAAACTCATCAAATTCCAGGTAGCTTTGGGATTATTCGTAACAACATCTGATTTACCGCCATTGCCACAAAATCACGAATTTTTGTCGTATGATTGCTCATTTGATACGGATTGTAGATGGTCGTCGGTTGGTGGGAATGTTGATAGATGGAGGATTGCTAGAGGGGAACCGGATAGTTTATTATGGTTAGCTGCGACTGGAACTATGCAATTACCTAGTGAGTTTTCAGAGGGGGGGGGGGCATTAGAGCCGATAGGAAACAAGATTCCTGAATTTCAAAATCTTGGAATCAGAAGATTTCAGCAAGTGTCAAAAAACTTTTAGAATTCTTCTGAAACACCTCAAGTGATTTTCAAAAAGTTCAAATCATTCCGAAAAAATCTTGCAAATTCTCTAGAAGAATTCTAGTTTTCCCAAATTTTTTGCATAATTTTCTATTTTTGTTTTCATAATTTTTAATATAAACTCAAAATTTTCAGAAAAAAACTCTTTTCCCAAGAACTTTTTTTGAAAATGAAAAATCTAAAAAATTGTTCTATAAACTTTCCTCCCTTCCCCAAAAATCGAAAAAAAATCGAACCTCTTTTTTCCAGGAGAACCGTTTGTTTTAATTGAATCCCGTGGAAATCCAGTTGACTCTCTGATGACCGACGCAATTCGATGTCAAAAAGGTTATGCGGATTTATCATTCACTTATTGGGCTATCGGAAATGCTGATCTCGAAATTTGCCTAACTGATATTGATGGTCATAAATTCAACTGTACTGGCCAACTCAATTCTCATGTGATGCCTGGAAAAGTTTCTCTGAAAATTCCTGAACTCCAAAAGCCTTTCAGAGTGAGTTCTCAAATGATCTTCTAGTTTTTCAATCGCGGGAAATTTTTTTCAGGTAATGATATCACCAAGTCGAGATGCTGGCGTGATAGTTTTAGACGATATTCGATACGACGCTTCGATTTGTCATAGTCCGCCAGGTGGAAGTGGAAGTGGGAGAGGTCGCCCGGATTTTATGTCGACTTCTGCGCCGAAGAAAATTCAACCATGGACTGTGAGAAAAACTAGTGTAGAGGTTACGGAACCGACAACTGAGAAATCAACGACCACGAGTACAACGACCACGACTACGACTAATGAAGCTCCGACCACGGAAGCTCCATCAACCACAACTGAGGAAGTGTGAGTTTATCAATTTGAGTTGTCAGAAGTCAGAGATTTTTTTGCTGAAACTCTCTATGATCTCTTTGGTCAATTTTTGGAGACCTTGGAAAATTCCCCAACTTCTGGTAACTTGAAGTTCAGTCACCAGAATATCGTTATAACTTACGCTAACTCCAAAAATCAAAATTTTTCAGCTCACCCCTTGGTGGAACAGAAGCACCATTTGATCTTCTAATCCTCGGCAACAAAACCAAGCCATTATTCGACCGAAGAACTGGTGAAGTAATTTCCGATGCAACAAAACTTCTATGTGATTTCAATAATGAATTTGCTTGCCAATGGGGTCCAGAAGCTGGAAGATGGGCAGTTGTTGAAAAAGGAGCAATCCCATCTCTCGAAGATTCCATCGCTGATCCAACACTCCTTCCAACATATCCAGCAGCTTTGGTTCTTCAAGGAACCGCAATGTTGACCAGTGATCCGATCAAATGTCAAACTGGAACTGCGAAGGTTAGTTTAATTTTGAAACCTTTTTTAATTCTTATAAGAAACCTTCAGGTTCTATTCCGATATTGGTCAAATGGTGATATTCTTCTTCAAGTCTGCGCTTTGGGACATGGAAATAATAGTGATATTATTCATTGTGCTGAACAAACACGAACTGTTAGACACGAACGAAACACTTTGGCTATTTTTGAGATGAATAAACAGATTGCTGAAGAATTTACAGTATGTTTTCGGGGTGGGGATCTTGGGGAGCCTCTATATTTTTTAGAAAAGATAAACCTAGAACTTTTTGATCTAGGTGTTTTTTCTAGAAAATCATTCCAGAAAGTTCTGGAATTTTTTTCCCTGGGTCTTTCTTAACCTTTTTTTTCCAGCTCAACATTGTTCCCCAATGGGAAGTTGGACTCAAAAACCGTTTCCTAGTTATTGACGAGATTGCCTATATCGGAGAATGCAAAGGAATCACCAAAAGATCGGCCAACTACCACAACCCAACCACCATTGATTCTTGGAGGACGTAGATCTACAATTTTATCAAAATCAACATCGACCACTCCGGAAGTGACTACGACGACTGAGTTGATCACGGAACCGACTACTGAATCTACAACAACTAGAGAATCCACCACTTCGAGAACAACCACAGAAGCTTCTACAGAAGCTCCAACAACTGAAACAATTGAAGAAGAGATTGTTGGAACAACACCTGAAGAATCAACAATTCCTGGAATCGAAGAAACCACTGAAAATGGAGAAGAAGAAGTTGCAACTGAAGAAATTCCTGAAGAAGTTACACCTGAAGAATTGATCGAAGAAGAAGAAACCACAACACCTCGAACAACGACTGTTGAATTTATAACAACCCCGGATAAATATACAAAGATACCGTACACCAAGAAAAAACCATTTATGCCGTGAGTTTTACACTACCCAATCTTGATGGATGTATGTAATAATTTTTAAAATTGTATATTTCAGAAGAATCCTGACAACATTCGCTCCAGTTTACCCAGAAGAACTGTACACACAAAGACCAAAAACAAATAAACAAACGTATGTGGGATTAATTTTATGTGAACGGAAATAGAGAAAATATGATTTACAGGAAATCGACATGGACTACAAATCCTCCAGAATCTCGGCAAGATGATTATTGTGAACTGCTGAACTGCAATTTTGATGGTGAGCAGGAATTTCTTGTTTTGAATGGGAGAAAAGGGGTTTAAAATTTGGAGAATCTGAACTATTACTAAATTTAAATAAGCATCAAAAATTCATTCAAGTTCAATTCAAATCTAACATTCATAACTCAGAATTTAATTTTTCAAAATTTTTCAAGCTGTTCACCAAAACCCCCCATCTCCCTTCCAAATTCCCAAAATCCTTATTCAAATCTATATTTTCTTCAGACACCGCCTGCAATTATTTGAATCACGGATTGACCAAGAAACCATGGACTTTGAGAAATCGAGGATATGGATATCCTTTGACAGGAGCCACAGATATCCGTGCCAGTAAGTAACAACCAATTTTGTAGTTTTTACTAGATACAATTTAAAAGCTAGGTGTGCCTAGGATATTAAATATAACCGTGCCAGTTAGTGATAACTAGATTTGTATTCAGTACAAAATACATTCACTGTAAAATAGCAGAACATACATATTTTTCCAGCACAAACCAATGGTCAATTTGTCTCATCCATTCTTGACCCTGGAGATATTGCAATTCTTGAATCACCCAAATTCAACGCCACAAAATCGCTCAATGTTCTGCTTTTCCAATATTTCCGACCATCGCAAATGACAACAATCAGATTGTGTTTAGGTATTGATATATTTTCAGTTTTTCTAGAAAAACAGTTTTTTGTAGGATCGAGGTATACAAATCCGATGCGAACAGTTTCCTCGTTCACACAATGCCCATCGATTCTTCGATCAGTGACTTCGAAAAATGCATATCGGTGGAATACTGTGCATGTTCAATTGCCCCCTGGCACAACTCATGTAAGCTGTGTGGAGAATTCTGGAATTTGAATCGAGCTTTTTTGAAAAATAACTCTTTGAATATTTTTATTTTGAAAATTGAACTTGGATCAACGCAGAATTTTCCTGAAAATTATGAGAAACAGAGTTTTCCAGAAGCCTTTCAAGCCACATTCAAAAATCAACTCTTAATTTTCCAGTTCTACTTGGTTGCACACAACAGCGAACGAGCTGAACAACGAGCCGCGATGGCAATTGATAATATGCGAGTCGCTATTTGTGATACACGTGGATTTGCTCCTGATTATATCGACGAAACGACTGATTTTGGAAACTTTATGCAATTGCAATAACTTTTTTTCGTTCTTTGTTAATTTTTGTTCGAACAGCGAAAGCTTTATTTATTCAGAAGGGTTGAAATCGTATTTTTTATTTTGAAAACTAAAAAATGTTCGGTACATTGAATCAATGATCTAATTTATTTATTTTTTAACTTACGAACTTTTTGACATTTTTCTTTCTAGTCAATATCAAAAAGCATCAGTTACAACTCAGTTCGTCTTTCTTTTATTTTATTTTGCTCCTTCTAAAAAAAATATAATTCATAATTTATTTTCATTTGTAATTTGTTGAACCAATAAACTTGTATATGTTATAAACTTTTGAAAACAAAATACAAAAATCTACACTTATCCTGGAATAATTTCAAAACAATCAAAAACCAAACATTGGCCGCGAAAAGACAACAAGAAACGGGGAGACGCAGAGAAACAAAGACAAAAATAAATGTCCATCGATTCGACAGCAACACAACAGGGAGGTGTTTGTTGCATCATTTGCGCCCTATTGAGAAAAGGGTCTCGCCGCGCTCAGCGAACGACTGGCCTTTGTTGGTCTTTATTCAACCTCTAATCGTTGATTCTCTGTCTACTTGTACCGTTGAAAAACCGTTAGCCTCGATTTCAATCATTTCCGTTGTCATTTCACTTTTTTGCATATACAACTTGCGCATTTTTCTTGCTCTTCTCTTCTTTTTATTTGCTCACCAGTGTATTATATTCATATTTGTTTGTTTCTTGCAGGATAATGGCCCCTAGTCAAAGAGATGGTGATAATGAAGCCGCCTATGGTTTCGTATACGGAGTCTCCGGACCTGGTTAGTTTTTATCTAGAAAAACCTTCAATAACTGGAAAATTTCCAGTCGTAACTGCTGAAAAAATGGCCGGATCTGCTATGTACGAGTTGGTTCGTGTCGGTCATCAAGAACTTGTCGGAGAAATTATTCGTCTTGAAGGAGATTTCGCCACCATTCAAGTATACGAAGAGACATGTAAGCAATGATTTCGGCGCGTTTTTACACATAAAAAACTTCTAAATTTTCCAGCCGCTGTCACCATTGGAGATCCAGTACTCAGAACTGGAAAACCACTTTCAGTTGAATTGGGACCAGGTATCATGGGTTCAATTTTCGACGGAATTCAACGTCCATTGAAAGACATTGCTGATATGACTCAATCTATCTACATTCCAAAAGGTTTGTGAGGAAAATCGGCCTATATAGAAAAACTAGAGTTATGTAAAATTCTAGGAGTCAACACCAAAGCTCTTTCCCGCGAAGCTCGTTGGGACTACAAAGTGTCGAAAGAACTCAGAGTCGGAGCTCACGTTACTGGAGGAGATGAGCTCGGAACTGTTGATGAGAACTTGCTCATCAAACACAAGATCTTGCTTCCACCAAATGCTTGCGGAACAGTCACATTTGTTGCTCCATCAGGACAATACACCGTTGAAGATGTTCTTCTTGAAGTTGAATTCGCTGGACAAAAACAAAAGTTCACCATGCTCCAAGTTTGGCCAGTTCGTTCTCCACGTCCATGCGCTGAAAAGGTTGGTTTCTCCTTAAAATAACCTTTAAGAATCTCCTTAACTCTAATATTGCAGCTCGCCGCCAACAACCCGCTTCTTTGCGGTCAACGTGTTTTGGACGCTTTGTTCCCATGTGTCCAAGGAGGAACCACCGCTATTCCAGGAGCTTTCGGATGTGGAAAAACTGTCATCTCTCAATCACTCTCCAAATACTCCAACTCTGACGCTATCATCTACGTAGGATGCGGTGAACGTGGAAACGAAATGTCTGAAGTACTTCGTGATTTCCCAGAACTCACCATGGAAGTCGAAGGTGTCACCACATCCATCATGAAGCGTACCGCTTTGGTCGCCAACACTTCAAACATGCCTGTCGCCGCTCGTGAAGCTTCCATCTACACCGGTATCACACTTGCCGAATATTTCCGTGATATGGGTCTCAATGTGGCTATGATGGCTGATTCCACTTCTCGATGGGCCGAAGCTCTTCGTGAGATTTCGGGACGTCTCGGAGAAATGCCAGCCGATTCCGGTTATCCAGCCTACCTTGCCGCTCGTCTCGCCTCCTTCTACGAACGTGCCGGTAAAGTCAAGTGTCTCGGAAACCCAGAACGTGAAGGATCCGTCACCATTGTCGGAGCGTAAGTTGTTCATTTTTAAGCCCTGAAGCCTCTGATCAATAATTTTGCAGCGTCTCACCACCAGGAGGAGATTTCGCCGATCCAGTCACATCCGCCACCCTTGGTATTGTCCAAGTGTTCTGGGGATTGGACAAAAAACTTGCGCAAAGAAAACATTTCCCATCCATCAACTGGCTTATTTCATACAGGTAATTAGAGAAAAATATTTCATATACGTACAAAAACCACCAGGGAAAAGGGATATGTATGTTTTGGGGGAAAAGGGTTAGAACGCGCTGAATTGTTGAATTGGCACATCATTCTCATAATGACGAGTATCGTTATTGTTGGTGGCTTGATTTGGCATCTGGTAACTGTTCTCAAATGTTGGTTGATTCTCCTTTCCTTTGATCAATCGAACAACAACCGCCAAACATATACACTAGAAAAATCATTTCTTGTTATAAATCTAATTAGCCTAACTCACCCGTTGTCGGTTGCCATGCATATAGTCAATGTATTTGATCCATCCACAATCCAACGCGAAACAAACACACCCCAAAAATGCACAGCATGATAAGATGATAATTGAACCGATAGTGATTGCCATCGTTCGCCAACTCATTTCGGTCTACAAAAATTATTTGTTAGAGATAAGAAATCAAAGGAAACTCTTACTTGGAAGAAGACTAATGCAACAATCAAAAATGAATGCATAAATTGGTATAAGACAATTAATGCAAGAACCATTAGATTGAAAACCGCTGAGTCCAAAATTTCACATTTTATGGTGAATATGAAAAAGACCATTGAGAAAAACCAAGTGATTGATATAATCAAGTAAACCAGCGTTGAGATTCGAATAACTTCCAACCAATCGAATTCAACGCCCTAGAGGATTATTGGAACTTTAATTAGAGGTTTTACCCTTAAAAGGGTGTGAACTCACTGCAATCATGACATTTGTCATTGGAACTTGCTCGATTCCAAATGTCGAATTAGTTTCATCTTCTTCTCCGCCAAGAAGACGATCAAGGAATTGGGCAACAACATCATCTTCTTCTTCTTTCTAGAAACAAAAATATTTTAGCTATCCCGGAATTCCGGAAAGCCTACCTCTTCTTTTTTGATGCGATTTGTTGCGACTGTTTGATTGAGAAATTCCAAAGATCGATTGGCAGTTGATACCAAACTTTCACTATCATCTTCTTCTTTCTCATTTGAAACTTTAGTTGTCTCAACGATTGGCAGAATCGTAGTTTCGAAATGCGGTTTATGTTCTTCTGGGGGTGGATGATTTTTCTCTTCGACAATCTCATATCGAATATTGTGTGGATAATTATGATGAACTGGTTCAAGAATTGTCGAATTCTCATTCCATTGCATATATTCATATCCACCAACATGATAGAAAAAGAACATTGCGGTTATCCCGCTCACAATTAGAAGCCCAAATTGTAGGAATAAACTGGCGAGACCAGTTGATTTTGGCCGAATGAAACATGTTTTTGAGAGGTTCTCAAGGCCTCGACGATCCGGAGTATTTGTATCTAGAGCACTTGCTCCAAGATACGGCCCACTTTGCTCGTGCCTTGACATCACTGGAGTATGCTCAACGAATTGTTGAAGACGATATTTTTCGACGAAACCTTCACTTGACAAACGTCTCGATGATAGACAATTAATATCTAGATCCACTGGTGATGTTGGAATATAGGAGCACTCTAGAACAATGGTATTTTCGGCGCTTTTATCAAAAATAATTGGTAGAATATCTTGACGGCATGTGTTGTTTGAATAATTGAATAAACGATGTCGTGGCAACGCTGATTAGAACAATACACACATAGAAATGTGTGTGAAAAGCAGCGGAGGATTAAAGTTATGTTGAAACCAACCAATAATTTTTTTCGACTGAACTGAAGAAAACCGAGGCTGAAAGAATTGAACGCGAAGAGTGAAAGGGGAAAAGTGGGAGGGGGGAAGAAGAGGAGAACTCTCGCTTTTTGCCAGCCGCGCGCGAGCAAAGCAAAAAGCAATCATGGTTGGGGTCTTGTTGCCAAGGTGATGGTTATGGACGCGAAATGTTATGCATCAAGGAGAGAGGGGGGTTGTTGTTATTCAGCTTCGATGATTCATTAGTTGAAAAGGAAACGGGTGGAAGAATGGGTGACTAGAAAAACAACACAGATCAAAATTAGGCACTTGGGTTTATAGGAAGTGAGAAGATTTCTCAGAATTCGGAATTTCTACTTGATCTCTAGCTGAAAATTCCTTGATTGCTGTGGCCGAGGCTTTGATCCTTAAGATTGTTAGGCTTAAGGTAGATACAGTAGCGGCAAAAAAGAAATGCACTAACTGTTTTTGGTGGATAAAGTCACTAAAACAGCCCGAAAATGTTGGAAACTTTTCTGGGGTTATTTTTTACGCCGATTCACACTATTTCAATCATTCAGATGTATTTGGCATCAGTTCTGAAGGTTGTATTGGTCCAAAATCAAAAATCCGATTTTTTCAGATTTTCAAGTTTTGTGAAATTTTATTTGATATTGTCTTTAGATGGTAATATTTGGGTGGCAATTGATTTTTTATCATTCAATACCATCCTCACACTTGATTTGACCTCATATTTCCAAGATCCAATCATGAAAAATAGTATTAGATGTTGTCGATTCAGCGATGTCTCAAATAGAGCAATCACTAGATTTTGAAACGACAAACCATATTTATCGTGTGAATTTCGACGAAAGTACTTTTTTTCATCAAATTCACCAATTTTCCATAAAAACTGAACATTTTTATCAAGTTTGGGGTCATTCTGATCTTCATCATTGATCCGATGTTGTCGTAGATCTTGATTTCAGTAACACCCCGAACTTCTGAACATCGTTTTTATTGCCTAAATTCACACTCGAAAGACTCAGGTACATTATCTGATTTGTTTCAATCCACAAACTTGCCTTCTTCGAGACTTACCAGGCTGAAAATGAAGATTTTCAGTTTTTCAATGGTTTTAACACTATTTTTTCATTGATTGTGCTAATTTCGTCTTATGTGGTCCGGCATTGTCGATCTCGCTTATTTTGGTATTTAAAATCATATTAGATCAATAGAGGGTCCTCTAAACTTAAGAAAATAACACTATTAAACCTCATCCGAAATTGTCGGAGGCCGTGAAATCAAGATCTACGACAACATCGGATCAATGATGAAGATCAGAATGACCCCAAACTTGATAAAAATGTTCAGTTTTTATGGAAAATTGGTGAATTTGATGAAAAAAAGTACTTTCGTCGAAATTCACACGATAAATATGGTTTGTCGTTTCAAAATCTAGTGATTGCTCGATTTGAGACATCGCTGAATCGACAACATCTAATACTATTTTTCATGATTGGATCTTGGAAATATGAGGTCAAATCAAGTGTGAGGATGGTATTGAATGATAAAAAATCAATTGCCACCCAAATATTACCATCTAAAGACAATATCAAATAAAATTTCACAAAACTTGAAAATCTGAAAAAATCGGATTTTTGATTTTGGACCAATACAACCTTCAGAACTGATGCCAAATACATCTGAATGATTGAAATAGTGTGAATCGGCGTAAAAAATAACCCCAGAAAAGTTTCCAACATTTTCGGGCTGTTTTAGTGACTTTATCCACCAAAAACAGTTAGTGCATTTCTTTTTTGCCGCTACTGTAAGTTTAAGGCCTTGATGCTTAAAATTTAGTTTAGGCCAGCTTAGGTATCAAAGCAACTTTCGGAAAATATCTGTTTCAGGAAAAAAATAACTTTCAAAATTTAACAAATCCAAAAATCAAAACCATGCTTTTTTTCAGTAAGTACATGAGAGCACTCGAAGACTTCTACGAGAAGAGCTACCCAGAATTCGTCTCACTCCGTACCAAATGTAAAGAAATCCTTCAAGAAGAAGAAGACTTGTCGGAAATTGTCCAACTCGTCGGTAAAGCATCGCTCGCCGAGTCCGACAAGATCACACTCGAAGTCGCCAAAATCATCAAGGACGATTTCCTCCAACAAAACGGTTACACACCATACGATCGTTTCTGCCCATTCTACAAGACTGTCGGTATGCTCAAAAATATGATTGCCTTCTACGACTTGGCTCGTCACTCGATCGAAACTACCGCTCAATCTGACAACAAGGTCACATGGGCTATTATCAAGGATCATATGGGAGATCTTTTGTACCAACTTTCATCCATGAAATTCAAGGTGAGCTAGATCCTTTCAATCCTAAAACTAATTTTCAAAATCAATTTTCCAGGACCCCGTTGCTGATGGTGAAGCCAAGATCAAGAAGGACTATGATGATTTGTTGGAAGCTATGCAAAACGCTTTCAGAAACCTCGAAGACTAAATAACTATTCATTTTTTTTCTCTCTCCCTAAAAAGAATTGCGATTGTTATTATAGTTTTAGCACCACCTTTTATGTGTCACTTTTATTTTCAATCAAAAATTCCAATGTTTTATATATTTTCACGTTTCTTCACGTTTCAGTTTTCAATTTGCTGAAACATGTTTCCAAATGTTGTGTCCCCGTTTCTTCTCACACTTGTCTCCTCCACCCGAATACATTCCTAAAACAATAGTTTTTTTATTATTTGTGATAACTGAAATTTATTTTTTTGTCTACATACATAGCTCCCTATATTTTTAGATGAAGAAGAATTATTATTTTTTGTATTGTCAGCAGTAAATACTTATGTAGAGCCTTATTACTTTTTTGAAATGAATGACAAAAACTGTAATTACACTATATATTTTATTAATGAATAATCGATAAATTTGTATTATGATGATGATGATGATTTTTATGATTGAAAAGTTCAGACAAACTTTGATGATAGTAAAACATGTGAGTTGATTCAGAGCAGGTGATTAGATTTCCGCAATCAAACTTTACTTATGATGACGGAAAGCTGGAAATATTCAAAAAAGGGACTTATGTACATAATTTTTGAGAAACATTTTTCAAGCTTGTGATAATTTCACTATGTGAATCCAAAAATCAACTAACCTTAAGAGTACTGTAAAAGTACGTTTTTCAGGTTCAAATTGCTACCGGCAATATTTTTCGTGTCAATGAAACACTTGAATTATGTCAAAAATTTGAAATTTCAAGTTTCACGAACAACGTCATTCATTCTGATCTGAAAAAAATTCCAGCTGCTCTCAAAACTTTTCCAAGTCTCTATATACACAAGGAAGTTACTAATTCTGAATGTGAGCAACAATATTTTTTCCTGATATTTTATACTGGTTTATAGATTGAATGAATAATTTTCTGTCTAATGAGGTTTATTTTACCAGATTCAGTTCAAATCTTAAAAACAAAATGAACAATGACATCTGAAGACACGATTTTCCAAGAGACAATTTTTTGAATTCAACATCAACCATTCAAAAAAATCTTTAAAAAATCATGTTAGATTTCCCCTCTTTTGCTTAATGCAAGAAAAGCTCTTGTAAAACAGTAATCTTTTTGTCACTGTCAAACAGTAACAAAAAAGATTATTGTATCACAATAACCAATCTTGCATTCTATTCGTCTTTTATTTTTTTTCTTAAAGGGGGTATACCCTATTGTCTCTCGTGCAAAGTGTGATACATCATTCGATTCAGAATTTTGTGTTTTATATGCACAAAAAATTTTAGCTCCCAAAACGGATTCTAAGTACACGTTTTCTGCGTCCAAACAGGGCCAAAATCTGCTCGAAATAAAAAAAAGAACACGCAAGAAAGAGAGACGCAGACTCTCGCTGTCTGCCAGCCAGCCAACATGTGTGTTGTTTTTTCTTCTTTTTTTAAATTTTTATAAGTTTGTTACAGTATATTCAGACTTACCGTAGTTGTTGAACACAAAATTCGAAAAAAAAACAATACACATGCTGGCTGGCTGACAGACAGCGAGAGTCTGCGTCTCTCTTTCTTGTGTGTTCTTTTTTTCATTTCGAGCAGATTTTGGGCCTGTTTGGACCCAAAAAACGTGTACTTAAAATCCGTTTTGGGAGCTAAAATTTTTTGTGCATATAAAACACAAAATTCTGAATCGAATGATGTATCACACTTTGCACGAGAGACAATAGGGTATACCCCCTTTAATACAATCACACAATTATCAGTTTTAATAAACCATTTCCCTCTCTTCTATTTATGCGCGCGCCGACAACTGACAGGAAGAGACACTCGCTATCTTTTGCATACAAAGTGGGCGGGGCTTATTAAAAAAGAGGAGAGGAGACGAGTGGGATTGTGAAGAAAAAATTGTATCTCAATTTTGAACTTTCAGTTTTCAGAAAAAGAAATATTTTTCTCAATAATAATATTTCGTCATAATATTATTTTCCGTATAATAATAATTGTTTTTGTGGTAGAAAAGATCAACGTCAAACTTTTGTTCATAATAATCATTTTTTGATACATATGTATATATGACTCAAAATCATACTGAAAAGTGCATTTGTTAAATCAGCATCAATTTTTCAGCTTAAAAAAACTTAAACAAAATCTATAATTGATACTCAAAATTTCATTATCGGACAAAGAACTAAAGCTTCAAACGAAAAATAGAAAATACCTAGTCATTGGCCCGCAGAGAGAAAAAAGTCTTCCGGTAGAAAAAATCACAAGTTTCAAGTAATTGGGAGGATTGGAGAAACAATTGGGGGAACCCGTTGAAATCGAGACGAAAAGAAAAGAAAAGAAACGAAAAAAAATATACAATATAAAAAACGACGAAAAACATATAACATATATAATTAGAAAAAGCGGAGAGCTCGACTAGTTGCACCATTTTTCCAATCATTATCCATATCCTTGGTAACAACAGCACGACACATTGGACATGTTGTGTTTCGATCCAACCACGTTTCAATGCACACTTTGCAGAAGATATGATTGCATTCGAGTCTGATCGGTTGGGTCATTTCTTCATGACATACTGTGCAAATTTGTCCGTCGTATTCCCATTTTTTTGGTGTGTGTCCGAAGGAGCTTTCAGAGAAGAGATATCGTAATGTTTTACGCACTGAGATTGAGTACTGTAGTACTTCTTGGAACTGCAAAAAAATTAACAATTATTTTATTGTGATATTTTGTAAGTAGCGATTCTACTAGAGTACTGTAGTACTAAAAATTGAGTTATGTTTTTTTTTTAATTTTATTATCGGTTATACTACCTTGAACATGTGTCTAAAATTCAATTTTTGAAATCACGAAAAGAGCAAACATGAGTCAATTTTGCTCTTTTCGTGGTTTTTCTGATAATTATTCTCAAAAACAAAACAATTTTCTTTTATTTTTACGAGATTATTGTGTTTGGAAAATAAGGGGTTTGTGGGGATTTTTTTTAGAAAATCAAGTTTTCGAAAAAAGCTCAGGCTTTGTTGAAGGCCGAAAACAGCGAGATTCCTTATTTTCTAACTCTGAAAATCTTACTGAAATTATCTAAAGTCTCAGGAAAGTGACATGTCTACAAAATATTTGAGAAAAAAACCAACCTTCAAGCCCAAATAGGTGACAGCTAATGTAGCATAAAACACCGTCCTCAAGCTGCTATACAAAAAATATCTGAACCACGGTCCAAATGTTAATGCGCATCGATAAAGTTGTGAGCAATATTCGATAAATTGTAATAGTCTCCGCTTTTGTGGTGCTCCGATTGCCGAATCAGGGCTTATCACAATCTGCAAAAAATTTGACTTTTCAGCTGCTTATAATTTATTTTGAGCGAAGGCGCTTGAATTGATTTTCCAATTGAATAACTCTTTATTCATATTTTTTCTTAAAGTTCATTTTTCTCTGAATTTTTAATTTATAAAATTTGAGCCCCATTTTGTGTTTTTTCTGATTTTGAAAAAAATTGAGCAAATCCAAAAATAATTGTTTTCGTTTTTCTAATTTCCTCAAAAATAATTAGTTTTTTTTCATTTTTCAATGCACTTTCCAAAAATATTAAATTTAATTGGAATTTCGATTGAAAAACAAAACTTTATTGTTCTCCCAGAGAACCTTGGAGCTGAGTTCTGAGCTCTAGAAATTTGAATAAAAAACACTGAATACTTGTCTTAAAAATACTATGCTCAAATTAAAATTTTTCAAAATCCCAAAAAGCTCACTCACAATTAATTTTGGCATAATAGTAATCAACTTGAAAATTAGGTCAATCACAATAACACCATAAGCAGTTGATAACAAGCCAACAGAAGTGAAATCAGTTGAAATGAAATACCCAATATTCAATCCAAATACATTTGCCATCGAAAAATCTTCAATATCATAAAAATAGACAATTAAGCAAAGACTGATAAAGTGCATTGAAGTATAACCCAATTGTAGGAATTTGTCAGGCATTCCTGGAAAAAAATGCATTTATTCATCACAGTTTTCATAGAAAATCTTACCTCCAGATGCAATTTTTTGTACATGATGATCAGCTTGAAGAAAATGTATAGATAGGATAACTAAAACTGTGATATCTAAAATATGATCCGCCATTAGTTTGATAGCAAATAAGCAGAGAAATAGGAATATATTTTGAAAAAAGTTGACCACTTGAATATACTGCAAAAAAGTTCGTTTTCTTTATTGAATTTTCTTCATTTTTCTTGCTGGCTCACCGTTTGTCCTTCTCTCACAATATCTAGTCGCATTCGCATTTGTTCATAGCCACGCACTGCAAACATTTTTTATTGGAAATTCATTAATTATTCCCGAACTTACATGGATCTTGTGGATTGTTGTTGTTCTCATTATTTTCTTCACTTTGTTCTGCTTGTTGTCCAGAATTATCATGTGCTGCAATATTTTGTTTTTATTTATTTATTTACATATTTTGTACATTTATTGATAAGATTGAGAAAAAAATTGAGAGTGAACATTTTTTTTGCAACGGATTAAAATAATCAGTTCAAAAAAAAATGTATTTTTGGAATTTTCACTTTTCTGATAGATTGTGAAACAATGGGAAAACGTGATGTCTGATAAAATTTTTGACTTAAAAATAACTTGAAATTCTGAAGATCTTTCTAGATGTTTTTGACTAAAAAACATCCGCCCTGAAAAAAATCATTGCCTAAAGTGACAAAAATTTCTTGAAGATTTCAAATTTTTAAATATTCTAAATTTTTGTTTCTTGAAAAAATCCCCTTGTGAAATCATACCTTGTGAATTTCGTTGATTGTCTTGACTATACGACGGTCGATTCTGTAAAAATGAAAACATCAAATCAAAAAAGGAATATCAATCACTATCATTCATTATTTTCTACTTTTCTACTTTAAATTCGAAAAACAAATAATATGTTTTTCAACTCAAAACTTTGATCGATCAAAAGACAAACTGAAAATTACCATGAATCGATTCAACGGTGACAACCCATTAATCTCAATAATCCCCAAAAAATTCGAAATTGTAAACGTTTGAAAAATATCAAAGCAATTTCTCATAATAAATGTTGATGTATAAGAAGCCATCCATCCAATACTAATAATAGCAGCGAAAAAAATATTATCAACTCCGAAAAATAGAGGAGCTTGAGAGGAATGGGAGAATGCGCGAGATCGTTGGGGTTCCGTCATTTTTTTCAATTTTTCAACAAAAAAGACACGGTGCTCTGATTTTAGTTGCGGTAATGAATTATCGCTTATCAAATTGATAAGAAATGATTTGCATGCACCCCCTAAAAAGTCTCCTAGTAATCAATATTTTTTACAGTCATCTGATTGATTGATATCCGGGTTTTGACGTCACAATTTTGTACTTTAGAAGCAAATATTATTTTACGTAAAACCTTGAATATCGATGAGAATTTGGTTGATTTTAATGGAATTTTGACTTGGGAAAAGTCGTTCTTGGGTAGAAATTTCGGCCAACTTGGGAACTCTGGGCTCTTGGAAAATCAAATGGCTCGGAAATCTCACAAAACCTTTTTAATCAACAAAATTCTTCACCCAAAAGGCCTATTTTTAGTTTTCATGAAAAATTTTCAGACTGACATGAAAATTAATATTTTTAATAAGTTTTGAAATTTTCAAATGTTTTTGTTTTTACTCTCTCACGATAAGCATTTTCTGATATTTGATTTTTTACAGAAATAAGTTTCAGCCAAGATACAATATGATTTCCTAAGCTTAAAAATTGGCTTCAAGGTTTCTAATCCAAGATTTCTCATCTCAAAACCAATCTCCAAGATGCTCTAACTTTCAAAGTACATTTTTCCTAGTTTCACCCCATTTTCCTTCCAATTTATCCGGCTTTCCCTCTCCCGCCTTGCCCCATTAAAAACTCACACCAAACAGTAAATCATTCATACGATTCTGGTAATCACCCAAAGTCGACATAATTGGTGTTGGCACATTTGGTGGTGGCGGAGGATTTTGCATATCTTGTGGATCCATTTTCTAAAAAGTCAAATATTGCGAAACTATTCTATTCTATTTGGAAAAAAAAACGAGGAAAAAAAGAAGAGAAGAAAGAAGAAAAATAAAAAATATATATATAAATGTGACAGGGTCGAGTTTTTGTGCGGTAGAGCGCGGTTTCTCATCTCTCTCTCTCGGAATGAAAAGGATATTCTCATTGTTTTGTTGCAAAATGAAATGCAAAACAATCGATTGTGCAAATAGAACTTTTTAAAATGGAATGAAAAAGAGGGAAAAAACAAAATGAACAGGAAGAATGTGTTATCAATGACACTTGAAAAGGGCACAAAAACAATTAGCTGGCTAATTATAGGTTTTGGCTAATTTAAAAGGGATTATTAGGAATATAGGGAATTAGGAAGAACTACATAAGAAAGAAACATGTCAAAAAAAGAATGGGTGAATATTTTCATTTTATGACCAGAACAAGAGCAAAAATTTTATGAAAATAATTTGAAGTGAAACAATTGAATCTTAACCAAAAATTCTCGAGAAACGCTTAAAGGTTTAAAATAAGTTGTTTTAACTCAAAACAAAACAAAAATGAGCAAGAAAAATGTGTTCAATGATACTTGAATAGAGTGAAAACAAACAAATTTTGAAGCTAATTATAGGCTCTGCTAATCTAAAAAAGCTTATTGAGATTTGAGCAAGGGCTAATTTTAAGAGTTGGAAGAAAAAGAGCAAAACATGGGAATTTAGAAATTTGAGCCAAAGGCATCATTTATTTTTGCCTCAAGACCTTTTTCAAATTTAGAAAGGTCTTGAAACGGTATAATTTTTATCCGAAATTTCATGTAAAAGGTTGTGCTGTATTTCGAAACCACAAGAAAAATCATTAAAAATGTTAGGACACCTTTGTGTAAAAGCCGAGAGTGAAAAAATGTATTTCGAAATAACGAACAAAAATATTTTAAATTTCAAGATTTTTTTGTTACGAAATTCTCAATTTCGGGAAGTTTTCCTAAATTCGAAAATTCTAGAAATCGCGTTTTCTCTCCCTCTCTCGCCCTAATAAAGAAGCAAGATAAAACCACACGAAATTGATTTTTGAGAAGCACCAGTGGGAATTTCAAAAAACAAACAAACAATTTCGCTTTTTTCTGGCCTATAAAATATCATTTTTCGAAAGAAATGCTAGATCAATATGAGCTTCGAGAAAAAAAAAACTAATAAATTCTCAATGTACTTCCCAAAAAATGTAGTTGTAATAAAACTACAAACTATACATAAAAATATATTAAATATGAAAAAAAAAAAACTTTTTAATTATGAGTTCTTAAAGATCAGCACCAAAGTAGAATTAAAAGCGGGGGAAAACATAATTCTTGAGGTTTTATTGTTTTCTCACATGTATGTACATCACGGGGGTAAATGTAGTGTTTGTGAGTGAACTAGTAAACTACACTATAGTTTATATTTAAAACATTTATTTATAATAATTACAAAGTTAATATAGAAGATCATCACCAAAATTATACAAACAAAACATGAAAAAAACATGAAATGAGACGATAAGAGTGTATTATTTTTTATTAATAATTTTTTGAGACACAAAAAAATGAATCACTGGGTTCAATGGTCGAGTTGAAAATGTCAACCACCTGAGAAAATAAATAAAATATCAGAATCACAAGGGTGAACACAGCTTCAGCTTTTCCTAGAAATTCAGAGAAAAGTATTTTTGATCTACCATAAAACGTTTTTTTAAGTCTCGCTACATATTTGGGGTTGTAAATTACACACTGTGAAATTGTCAGACCCGTAAAATTTCTTGACCTTTCGAAAGATTTTGGCTGTTTACCCTTGTGAGAATGGGTCAATTATTTTTCGCATGAAATTCTTCGTCTAGACCTGGGAAATCTCAAAAATCATGCGAGAAATAATTAAAAATACAAAAAAAATGACATAAAAAGACAAAACTAATCAATAATAATGTCGTTTCCGCTGATTTCTCAACGCTTGTGGTAAATCATGCTGACGTAGTGCATCTCGGGTCAATCCGGCTTCTCCTCGTCGATTTTGTTGTGTCGGCCGTTCAATGTATACCTGAATTCGCCCATATCTTTTATTTCTATCATCAACTTTCATTTTTATATACATATATAATACACACACACAAAATATTATCTGATTGACGGGACTTTGCACTTATTTTTTTTTTTTGCAAAATTTTGTTGAAAAAAAAAATGGAAAATAACTTACGATTCGAATCTCTTTTTCACGAACAAAGACAAAATAAAGAGCGAAAATTATTGTCAAAAGTTGACAGAGAACAACGGCGAAAAATACAATGAGTGTGACTGAAAATCCGATTCGAAGTGCTATCATAATTCTGAAAATGTAAATGTTTGGTCTGGAAATGAGAAGAGAGGGCTTACCTATAATGACAACCATCACAACGTATATCACAAGATCTAGGAATATCTTGTCGGAACACTCGGAAATCAGAGCATCCGGCGTTTCCTGAAAAATTTGAGGTTGAAAATCAACTAATTTCAAAATTCTCCAAAAAATCTTCCGGCACTCACCACAACATCTAAAAGTAGTCTGCAATTTATCAAGCGCTTCCTGAACAACACCAGGTCCTTGATAATAATGTTGAACCATATAATTCAACGCATCCGATAACTCAACATCAATTCCATCTTTTTTATAAAGTAAAAATACTCCGCAACTAATTGTTGCGACGAATAATAAAAATACGAGAATCGCATAAATCACCAAAAATAATCGAGATCTTCCACTGATTCCACAACAACCTAACATTGCCACAACTATCATTACAGCTCCCATAACTATTATGATATATGAAAATATGAATAATGTTGGTGCTTCCCAGAAAGCATCTTCAACTGCTTGTCGATATCTGAAATTTTTTTGTTCATTTTTTAAATTTAAAAATTTTCAAAACCCTACCTCTCACTAATAAAATTCCTAAACCGACTATCAGTTCTCAACCAAACACCCATTGCTAACAATAATCCACCAACTGTTAGAAACACAATATTCGCTGTGAAAATTCCATATTTCGTCCAAGCCACACATCCACTATCACCTTTTGTTTCTACTGATCTGAAATTCTCGAGTTTGGAAGTCTTGTTGTGAACACAGCCTACCTTTCTGTATTTGTGGTATACGTGTACATATCTGTAGATGATGGTGCATATTTATAGGTTTCTGGGAAAAAAAACATTAGTTTATGAGTTTTTCAGACTTCAGGTAACTTACTATCTTTTCGCTTTTCATAATTTGGAGGTACTGGTGAATAAACTCTTGATGTTCCCTCAGTTGGTTCATAATATCTTGAAGGCATCTGGAAATTAGAAAAAAATGGAAGTTTTTAGATGATCAAGGTCACGATGTCAAAAAATGCGGATATCAACTTTAAATATGATCGTGGCAAAAATATAAAATTCAGCTAATTAACTACAGAAATAGTTTTTTATAAAAATCTTCCAAATATGTTTCTTTTTAGAAAAATTGGGATCAAAATGAAAAACGAAACCTAACTGAACTGAATTTGAAAAATTATTTTCAAAGAAAATCAAATCAATCAATAAATTTGACGCAACATTCCTATTCTCTTTTGATTTTTATGAAAATCATTTTCGGAATTGGTGGTAGCGAAATTTATTAAAATCAGGATTTTTGGAACAATTCAATTTTTAATACAATTTATACTAAAAGTTAATCTTTTGAGTTTTCTACTCGAAAATATAAATTTCGAAAAGAAATAACAAATCAATCAATAAATATTAAAAAGAAGACATATGTAAAAGTAAGAATAAAAATAATGAATAGTATAATAATATCGATGACTCATGAAAGACAAGACGGGAGGTTTTCGACTATGCAAATATTACGAGCAGCCAGCCAACAAGCAACGACGACCTGGTGGGAGAAAAGAAAAATATAAAAACGAGAAGAGAGTTGCTAGCAGCAATGCATGACCGTGTTTGCACACTTTTTGTTGTTTCGTTTTTACTTATTGTTTTACATGAAGTTGGGAGGAATAAATTGATCGTTCGACAAAAATAAAAAGGGTGAAGCCTTAGCTTTTGTGCTAATTTGATAAAAGTTTTGTGGAATTTCAACAAGAAATTCGTGATCAGTGACCTCGATTTGACTTGTATTTTGACGCCCGAATGAAAATTTCGATTTGAGCGGGTAGCTAACAAAAGTCGAAATTTTTATTTTCGGAAATGTAAAAAGTTACAGATTTGGAATAATCCAAAAATGTAAAAATGAAGTCGATGAGTTGAGACCTAAATGACACTTCCTCTCAGGCTTAGGCTTAGTAAGCCACCAAGATTTGAAGCTAATAAAATTGAAAGAAAACTTTTAACACTGTTAAAAAACAAGAAAATTCAGAATTTTATCCAGAAATGAAATTATTGAGAAAAAGTAATGTCTCCAAACCGAAATTTCTGTTTGGAGACGGTCATGTCTATAATTATGCAAATAAAACAAAGAGATAAGTTTTTTTAATTGGTTGATGACGTCATCCATGGCAAAATTAGAAACCGTTCCTGATTTTGCCACGAGTCAAAAATTCAACAGTTTTGATTTTCGTTGAAAAAATTCAACAAAAATCGAAATTTTGATTTTCGTGAACGTGAAGGGATGTATGTTCGCAGATGACCTAGAAACAAGTTCGAAAAGTTTTGAAAAAGTTTAGAGAAGTTTCACGTGAAAAAACGTGAAGAAATATATGCTCATAAATGACCTAGAAACAAGTTCAAAAAGTTTGGAAAAAGTTTAGAAAATGATCACGTGAAAAAACGTGAAGGAATATATGCTCATAAATGACCTAGAAACAAGTTCAAAAAGTTTGGAAAAAGTTTTGAAAAAGTTTCACGTGAAAAAACGTGAAGGAATATATGTTTATAAATGACCTAGAAACAAGTTCAAAAAATTTTGAAAAAGTTTGGAAAAAGTTTCACGTGAAAAAACGTGAAGAAATATATGTTTATAAATGACCTAGAAACAAGTTCAAAAAGTTTGGAAAAAGTTTCACGTGAAAAAACGTGAAGGAATATATGTTTATAAATGACCTAGAAACAAGTTCAAAAAATTTTGAAAAAGTTTTGAAAAAGTTTCACGTGAAAAAACGTGAAGGAATATATGTTTATAAATGACCTAGAAACAAGTTCAAAAAATTTTGAAAAAGTTTTGAAAAAGTTTCACGTGAAAAAACGTGAAGGAATATATGTTTATAAATGACCTAGAAACAAGTTCAAAAAATTTTGAAAAAGTTTGGAAAAAGTTTCACGTGAAAAAACGTGAAGAAATATATGTTTATAAATGACCTAGAAACAAGTTCAAAAAATTTTGAAAAAGTTTGGAAAAAGTTTCACGTGAAAAAACGTGAAGGAATATATGTTTATAAATGACCTAGAAACAAGTTCAAAAAATTTTGAAAAAGTTTTGAAAAAAGTTTCACGTGAAAAAACGTGAAGGAATATATGTTTATAAATGACCTAGAAACAAGTTCAAAAAATTTTGAAAAAGTTTTGAAAAAGTTTCACGTGAAAAAACGTGAAGGAATATATGTTTATAAATGACCTAGAAACAAGTTCAAAAAATTTTGAAAAAGTTTGGAAAAAGTTTCACGTGAAAAAACGTGAAGAAATATATGTTTATAAATGACCTAGAAACAAGTTCAAAAAATTTTGAAAAAGTTTTGAAAAAGTTTCACGTGAAAAAACGTGAAGGAATATATGTTTATAAATGACCTAGAAACAAGTTCAAAAAATTTTGAAAAAGTTTTGAAAAAGTTTCACGTGAAAAAACGTGAAGGAATATATGTTTATAAATGACCTAGAAACAAGTTCAAAAAGTTTTGAAAAAGTTTTGAAAAAGTTTCACGTGAAAAAACGTGAAGGAATATATGTTTATAAATGACCTAGAAACAAGTTCAAAAAATTTTGAAAAAGTTTGGAAAAAGTTTCACGTGAAAAAACGTGAAGAAATATATGTTTATAAATGACCTAGAAACAAGTTCAAAAAATTTTGAAAAAGTTTGGAAAAAGTTTCACGTGAAAAAACGTGAAGGAATATATGTTTATAAATGACCTAGAAACAAGTTCAAAAAATTTTGAAAAAGTTTGGAAAAAGTTTCACGTGAAAAAACGTGAAGAAATATATGTTTATAAATGACCTAGAAACAAGTTCAAAAAATTTTGAAAAAGTTTGGAAAAAGTTTCACGTGAAAAAACGTGAAGAAATATATGTTTATAAATGACCTAGAAACAAGTTCAAAAAATTTTGAAAAAGTTTGGAAAAAGTTTCACGTGAAAAAACGTGAAGAAATATATGTTTATAAATGACCTAGAAACAAGTTCAAAAAATTTTGAAAAAGTTTGGAAAAAGTTTCACGTGAAAAAACGTGAAGAAATATATGTTTATAAATGACCTAGAAACAAGTTCAAAAAGTTTGGAAAAAGTTTCACGTGAAAAAACGTGAAGGAATATATGTTTATAAATGACCTAGAAACAAGTTCAAAAAGTTTGGAAAAAGTTTCACGTGAAAAAACGTGAAGGAATATATGTTTATAAATGACCTAGAAACAAGTTCAAAAAGTTTTGAAAAATTTTAGAAAAATATCACGTGAAAAAACGTGAAGGAATATATGTTTATAAATGACCTAGAAACAAGTTCAAAAAATTTTGAAAAAGTTTAGAAAATTATCACGTGAAAAAACGTGAAGGAATATATGTTTATAAATGACCTAGAAACAAGTTCAAAAAATTTTGAAAAAGTTTTGAAAAAGTTTCACGTGAAAAAACGTGAAGGAATATATGTTTATAAATGACCTAGAAACAAGTTCAAAAAATTTTGAAAAAGTTTTGAAAAAGTTTCACGTGAAAAAACGTGAAGGAATATATGTTTATAAATGACCTAGAAACAAGTTCAAAAAATTTTGAAAAAGTTTTGAAAAAGTTTCACGTGAAAAAACGTGAAGGAATATATGTTTATAAATGACCTAGAAACAAGTTCAAAAAGTTTGGAAAAAGTTTCACGTGAAAAAACGTGAAGGAATATATGTTTATAAATGACCTAGAAACAAGTTCAAAAAATTTTGAAAAAGTTTAGAAAATTATCACGTGAAAAAACGTGAAGGAATATATGTTTATAAATGACCTAGAAACAAGTTCAAAAAATTTTGAAAAAGTTTTGAAAAAGTTTCACGTGAAAAAACGTGAAGGAATATATGTTTATAAATGACCTAGAAACAAGTTCAAAAAATTTTGAAAAAGTTTTGAAAAAGTTTCACGTGAAAAAACGTGAAGGAATATATGTTTATAAATGACCTAGAAACAAGTTCAAAAAATTTTGAAAAAGTTTTGAAAAAGTTTCACGTGAAAAAACGTGAAGGAATATATGTTTATAAATGACCTAGAAACAAGTTCAAAAAGTTTGGAAAAAGTTTCACGTGAAAAAACGTGAAGGAATATATGTTTATAAATGACCTAGAAACAAGTTCAAAAAATTTTGAAAAAGTTTAGAAAATTATCACGTGAAAAAACGTGAAGGAATATATGTTTATAAATGACCTAGAAACAAGTTCAAAAAATTTTGAAAAAGTTTTGAAAAAGTTTCACGTGAAAAAACGTGAAGGAATATATGTTTATAAATGACCTAGAAACAAGTTCAAAAAATTTTGAAAAAGTTTTGAAAAAGTTTCACGTGAAAAAACGTGAAGGAATATATGTTTATAAATGACCTAGAAACAAGTTCAAAAAATTTTGAAAAAGTTTTGAAAAAGTTTCACGTGAAAAAACGTGAAGGAATATATGTTTATAAATGACCTAGAAACAAGTTCAAAAAATTTTGAAAAAGTTTTGAAAAAGTTTCACGTGAAAAAACGTGAAGGAATATATGTTTATAAATGACCTAGAAACAAGTTCAAAAAATTTTGAAAAAGTTTGGAAAAAGTTTCACGTGAAAAAACGTGAAGGAATATATGTTTATAAATGACCTAGAAACAAGTTCAAAAAATTTTGAAAAAGTTTTGAAAAAGTTTCACGTGAAAAAACGTGAAGGAATATATGTTTATAAATGACCTAGAAACAAGTTCAAAAAATTTTGAAAAAGTTTGGAAAAAAGTTTCACGTGAAAAAACGTGAAGGAATATATGTTTATAAATGACCTAGAAACAAGTTCAAAAAATTTTGAAAAAGTTTTGAAAAAGTTTCACGTGAAAAAACGTGAAGGAATATATGTTTATAAATGACCTAGAAACAAGTTCAAAAGTTTCAAAAAAGTTTAGAAAATGATCACGTGAAAAAACGTGAAGAAATATATGTTTA